AAAACGCTGGAAGAACCTCGTCGACTGGCAGCTGCGGCGTTTACATCAATATGATGCTAGAAATAGCAACAGTGACCGTCGTTGCTATGCTCTAACTGCGATGTTCGATGCCGTTATGTCACGTTATGTCCGGACATCTCAGTTTCCCCTAGCGTAAATTTATTCCCCTGATTCGCGAACGCGAATGCTTGCTACCGGCGGCGTTATCCTCGTTTGCTCCACTTTCGTTGGCCAGCGAATTTATCGTTCTTCTGTCGTCGTGCAATCATGCCACGGTCGCGGAGACGTGACACGATTGAACGATTTATAGCTTAATCCTTTATGTAGTCTCACTTTCGACCATTGCAATTCTACTGCTGCGCAATTCGAGTAAATCTACTTAACGAGCAAGTGTATCGAGAGCTGGTCGAAAGTCGTGGGAAATGTTTGCGCGTGATATCGTATCGTTGAGTCGTAAGGAAACCGAAGACTTTTTTTTTTTTAATGTTCTTTATCTTATCGATACTTTTCCTTTTTATCGTGCGAAAGACGAAGGGAAAAGAAAAGAACGTATCGAGCACGATGTCGTTCGATCAGGAGTAAAACGAAACCGAAGAACGATACGATTGCGTATAATACAGCACCCGTGTACATCTCAGTTGTCGCGTCTGACTGGTCGAATTCCAAGGTCGAAATCGTAGGTGTTCCATCGGGAACGAATGACGGTCAAAGAATATCCGAAACGGGGCAAGAGAGAACTCGATCGCGACGTACGATAACAGGGTGAAAAAGGAGCCCTCGATGTCATAAATAATTGTAAGAGCCTTTTTCATCGAACGTTACATATCAAGATCGTTGCCAAGTATTTTATGGATGTCTGTTAAAGCTCGCATGAACGCGAGACGCGTAGCATAACTTTATAGAAAATTCGAATGTCTATAGTTTAGCCGTCACTCATCCACGGACATTCATCTTATACATATCAACGCGTTCCTTAAATCATTGGGGACGATGTCGTCGACATTTCTTAATGTTCGCACTTCGTACGTCACAATCTCACGTAATAATAATATAGACGATAGGTCGTCAATCTCTAGTTTCTGTTGTTGCTGAAAGTTGCGAAAATATTGGTCAGATAGCCTGACCGACGGTATTTACGATAAATTAATTTTTCCTATTTTATTCGACGTTTCTATCTAAATGTATTTTGTTCCGGTTCGAAAATTATACGAAGTTACGTTACTTAATTTATTATCTGGACATCGGTTCCACGTATTTGCGTTATTTCAGGAAGAATCGCGAATTTATTACGTTACTCGGCCGATAAATATTCGGTGGAAACGGAGTAATCCGGTGATCGATATTCAGGCGTGCTCTTTAGCCTGCAATCTTTGCCGGTGATATCTTGAGATCGTTCAGCTGCTTAACTCCATTCACAAAGGACCGACCGGTCGAAATGAAATAACGACTGCTGATGAAACGTAATATACTCAACAGGAAACCGACACTTGTCAATTCTGGTAGAGCACGACCGCGATCATTCAAGTGGCTTGTCGCTTCTGTTTTGTAGGCTCTACTTGCGCTCTAGACGTCGACATTTATACGGCGCGTGATAAAATTACACCGTCTTTCAGCAACGCCGCGAGATGAGACGGCAAAACGATCGTAGTACGTACGTCGCAGTTACGCTTTTGCCGCACCATCCTTCGTTTCAACTAGACGCTTTAAATTCCCCTCCTTGTTATAGCAACGCACGGATTGTGACGTGCGAACACACCACGTATGCTTGTATTTCGAGTTGCGAAACGTGTTCGAAGTTCGTTCGATACGCGCGGCAAACGTCAAAGATATCTGTAATATTTTTCGACGAACGCGGAAAATTCGATTGTTACGCGGAAACGAAGAAAGTATAGAGACAAATCCTGCACGTAATTATTATATTGTCGGAATACATTACACGATCTAGAGATATATGTATATCATAGGAGCGAGTTGATTAATCTGTTGCGAGTATTTGTTGGTAAAACGGTAAACCATCATCGAACACCTTTCGTACACTGTATACCGCGCGATATAATTATCAATTATCGATAATGCGTTCACAGAACGCAGAGTCATAAATAAGTTACACATGGAAAGTACATCGTGTTTTACTATTCGATAAATAGAGTAATAAAAAAGTAATAAGATTAAGGCATTAATATTACGAATAATATACTGCATATCGAAATTAGGTTAATGATAATATTACGTCGTGACACGAGCCACTATGAAACCTAATGGAAATCGAAGGAAAATCACACAAATTTTCGTTTTTTTTTTTTCAAATTTATACGATTTATAGAATTATCGATTGTCCTCGAAATAGATACTACGCATGATTTAAAACATCGATCTGATCGATTTTATTTAATTAATAAATCAAGTTTCTTTTTCAAAACTTTTTCAGCTATACCGAAAGTATCGGAAAATATTTTTTCCTTCGATGGAAAAAGGGAGAAGGTTCGTGCCAATATCACACAACACACACATATCATTTATACGCCCAAAATTTTACCTGTAAAATAATGGTTAATTAAGGCTTCACTGATATAATCTCTAAAGATCATATACATATCGTGAACGTGAGATTTAAGAGAATTTATTTGTTAATATATATATAATATATGTACGTTACATATATATACACATTATTACGATCATCAAAGATATATTATATACCTATATATTATATATATACATATACGCATTGGATGTTTTTTCTAAGAAGTTTCATCGATATAAAAATACAAAGTTGTTATTTACGTGCTGTTGTTACAAGCGAATAATCTCATTACAGATCATTTCAGCCCAGTATCTATTTAATGATTGTCCAGTACTTTCTTCTCTGACGAATTTTCTTTATTAGTTGGGACTTGAAAGAAATATTAAGCTTCGTTTAAACGATACGCCGAGTGGTATTCTTTGCAGGCCCTACACATAGCTTAGAATCCTCAGGAGGCATATCGAAGATACGTTTTCTTCGTATCTTACTACTTTGATGCCAATTATTCTGTTAAAAGAAAAAGATTCGCTTGAACGACAGCACGTGAATGATTATAAGTTGACGAAAAATACCAGTAGATACAGAAATAAAGAGAATAGTAACGTTAGCATAGATGCACTTATCCAGTGAGGCAGGAGTTTAGATCCCAAGATTAAAGACTGAATCGACGGGAAAGAAGTAGAAAAATGTATAAGTATATCCGTTTCCGCATTGATCCTAGCTTTCGTCGAGCAATATCGGTCTCTTGTTTCATTTTACCTATCAACAGTACCATATATATTCGCGACTTTCTCAAAAACTTTTTATTAGAACTTGCTACATGATATCGACGGATCATAGATTTCTTCCTAATTGTACTATCTTCTTCATTGACATATTATCAAAAGAAAAACCAAGGGACTCCTGACTCACATAGTGAAACATATCCCTTTAGGTGATCGTAGAACGATGAAACGGGCTAGTCGCTTGCGCGTATTCGCGTCGGAGACACCCAAAGAACCATGTCGAGACATATCTCTGATGGCCGTAGGTTTTAGTCTCGCCGGCTGCGTTGTTATTATTACTAATTATTATAAGCGGTATTTTTGTACAGTGTCTTACAGTGATGGAGTCGTTGCAGGCGCAGCCGACGAGCCGTTCACGGCATAGCCATATTATACATAATATAAATATATATACATACATATATTTATTTCAATTATAGCGCGTAATACTCTGAAAACCTTTCTTTGGCGTACACATGATACATACAGAGATGCGTATACACACATGTAAACGTAAATTAAAAAAGCGTCAGTTTAACGAAACAAAAGGGAAAGTGCAAGTAAAAACGGAGAACAAATACACAATGTCAAAAAAGGATTTGTTCGTATAAACAACTTCAAGAACGGAGCTTTTCTCTGTCTCTGTCTCTGTCCGTCTGTCTCTCTGTCTCTCTCTTTCTCTTTCTCTCTCTCTCTCTCTCTCTCTCTCTCTTCCTCTTTCTCTATCTTTCTCTCTGCTTTCATTGAACTTCGGTGGATATCTTTACTTGTATCTATCTCGGTGCTCTCTTGTATTGTCCGCTTCGTTACCTCTCAAAGAATCATTTAAATTTCCCCAACTTATAATTACTGTATACGCTGATAAATATCACATACACGCGAGAGACATGCAAGCATATACACACGTACAAATAATAATTTTACAAGCATAGGATACACGTACGATAGATTATATGTACGGACACATTACTACCTACATACCTATATGTTATTTCCTCTTTGATTAAGAGTAGATAATTAATCTGTGTAAGAGCCATACGAAGTTCGTATGAAATTGAAATACGAATGAGAAAGAAGGATTCTATCGCAAAGGATACATACACATACACACGTACACACGCACACGGAAAATCTATGCCTAAAATGACATATCGGTGTTACAACGTATAAATATATATATATATAAATATGATTATAAATATATAAATATAAATATTATGTAAAACACAGATACACACATAAAATTCGTCTGTATATGTCTATAAATATTGTTACATATATATATGGTCACTATAATGATAATTATTACGTGATATGTATTACGAAACATCTTTTTCTCGCAAAGGTCCGTGATACGGGCATCTACTCAGATTCTAATGTCTATATGTCATTGTTTATTATGTCGTTAACAATTAACGTGTATATGTGAAACTTTCAAAACGAATAAAAGGTACCTAAGCATATGACCATCGTCATCTTATTTCCTTTCTACCGAATTCTTGTCTGTTTTCATTTATACTATAGTTAGCTGTACTAAGAAGTACTCTATAATTGATTAATTTTTACAACGATATAAGCATCGAGGAATAGTCCAATTACTTGTTGCAATAAATATAAATGGAAGAGTAATTTATTTTTAAAAAATATAAAAAATTTGTATTTTCAAATACTTTATTGATCTATCGAACAATCGTGGTAACAGATCATACTCAAACAATCGATTCAACCAGTAACCAATAACTTCGCTTATCTGCATTCACGTGTTAGAAAATAAGGTTATGTCACGCGTGACGAAGGTAAGAAATACATACTGGGTTGTTGTTTTGAAATTTATTACAGTGAATTTTAAACATTAAATGTTTATAACTGTTTTATAATTGTTAATAATAACATACCCGAATAAACGGTAAGGCAGTTTGCTAAATTTATTTGATAAAATACTATAATTACGTTTATATTACAATTTTTAAAAACTGTAAAAGTACGTATTTTAAAACCAATATTGTTTATTTACGAATAAACATTAACAATAGTAATCAAACTGATAACTTTTAATTATTTAAAACCATAAAGGCTTTCAACATTTTTAAATCATGACTCGATATGCAAGAGCTAAAGGTTCAAAAGCTTCAAATGAAAGAATACCCAATGAAGCTACACCATGGCATGTAATGAAACAACAATTAATTGAAAATTTATCAAAAAAAGAAGAATCTATTGGAGAAACAAAAACTGTTAAAGAATTGCTGGGTGACACACAAAATACAACTACTACTAATAACGTTGAAAATGCTAATAGTTCATGGGCAGAATTTCCAAACAATTCTGAAATAAAACATAATGTAATGATGCATAAAGTACAGAAAAAGCAAAAGACTATTAGCAAAGATAATCCTGCAGCAGAAATAAACAGTAAGGAACACCAAGAAGATGTATATCAATATAATACAAGTAACAATAAGAAAAGAAAAAAAGATAAACGCAATACATTAGAAATTAAGGAAAATAATATTGATGCAGTAATCAATATGAATGAATCACAAAATGAAAATGATATACCTTCCAAACGCCAAAAACGCAATATGAAGAAAAGAAATTTGAATGAAAGTGTATCCAAAACCACAGAAAATGATAACAATGATAGTATTGAACCAGAAAATACAAATAATAACAAGAATGGAAATAAAGAAATTAATAAACCACAAAAAAGTTTTAATACAAACTTTCCAGTTAAGTCACAGAACTTCAAGAATATTCCAAATAAGTTTGGTATGAAAAAGATTAACAATCAGAAAAGGAAGAGGAAACCACCTAAAATTCGGGATGATAAGGAACACAAAAGAAGAAAGCCAGACGTAGCCCCTTCAAAAATAACCATTAACGGTGTAGAATTAGAAATTGTGAAATTTGACGGGTTTCCAGTCAAAAAAGAAGATGCAGATAGACTAAGTGATTTAAAACAGAAAATGATCATGAAAGGTACATTGTATTAGTAAACTTTTTATAATGGTATATTAAACATTTTTTAATCATTTTCGTCATTTTGTAGGTATTCCACAAAAAGAAATAAATGCAGCAATGAAACTGGAAAGGAGAAAAGCTGAAAAAGCACTAGCTAGAATTAGAAAATGTGTATGTTTTCATTGTCGTAAATCTGGACATAATTTATCTGATTGTCCTGAACTTGGATCAGAACAAGCAGGAACTGGAATCTGTTTTAAATGTGGATCAACAGAACATACTCATTTCGAGTGTAAAGTAGCTAAGCCAATGGAATTCAGATATGCAACTTGTTTCATTTGTCGCGAACAAGGACACATTGCTAAACAATGCCCTGATAATCCTAAAGGAATTTATCCTCAAGGAGGAGCTTGTAAAATTTGTGGAGATGTTACACATTTGAAGAAGGACTGTCCGGATTTGATTAAAGGAAAGGAAGAAAATACCATTACAGTAAATACAATTGCAAATGGTAATTTAGAATCCCTAGGAGGGGACATAAATAGCATAGATGAAAAAGATAATAAAAAGACTAAAAAAATAGTGAAATTTTAATAAGTACTTAAAATAGAAATAAATACACGTATTTTTATGTATAATGTAAACTTTTTGTATATAATTCAATGCTTGCTATGTAAACGTAAGATTTATTGAAAGGTACATGTGTCTGACATGTATATACATACATTATCTTCATACATATACTTTAACATTATTTAAACCACCATCATGAAAAATCTGATATCAAATAACATATAATATCATTACAATTTATGTATTATCTATTTACATTATATTGGAATTTTTAAATCAGTTAAAACTTTTTACATATTAATTGTACAATGTGATCATGAAATTATTTATTCATTTAAATAAATTTTCCTAAGTTAAAGGAATAAATTATTTATTAAACTCTATGATATCAGATTTTTTCTCCCTATGTACAGAGGACAAATTATAAAGATATACGTAGATATACAAATATTATCTGTACATAGTAGTAGTTTCTTATATATATGTATCAGCATCATTTGCAAAATTTGTAATGTTAATTTTAAATTTATATTTCTATATTTAATCTGTTATACAAATGACATATAACAAGTAGAAACATACGATTAATTTTTCATTACCGTAATTTTCTTTTGAGACATCTAAATAAATGTCTCAATTTCTATTCACACAATTTTTATCTTATTATATTATGAATCTGTACAATTTATATACTTAAAATAAACATTATCATTTGAAGTATGAATTTTATGAATATATATGTATTTATATGTATTTGTACCTATATTACACTTGTTCTTACACTATTCCATATATATAATATATAAACTCTCTATATTTTATATTAATCTGCTACATAAAAGTTATACTTTAATCACCTCTAATGGCAGACAGATATTATTACTACTGCAGTGATGAATAAAGTCAACACACAATGAGAAATATCCATTTATCTGTACCTATTAAATCTTTAATTTATATATTAGACAATTGCATTCTCAATATCTTAATTCACTGTAATGCTCTGTCATTAATTATTTAAATAATTCCTCATATTAAGTAATATACAATAATAATTAAATTCAAAGGGACAATTTATTGCAACACATAATGAAAAACTTTTATTTTAGAATTGTTAGAAGTTGTGCGATATTACATATCGTAAGAAAACGTACGGAAATGTCCTAATATATTTTCTTCAAAATTATGCTAATTATAAAATGCACAAATGTAACTCAATGAAAGAAAATTTCCCAACCTCCTTTTAAAAAATCTGTTAATATTAGCTATAGACGAAGAACATCGATAAAGAAAAAATCATAAAAATACAACATTATTCAGAAATAACTGGAGTAACTTTTACTTTTACAAATAACGTAAGTTTTTCAAATATTTTTGATAATGATAACGATTATAAACAAATTCAATTTCATTGGAAATTAGCGTTTCTCTTTTGTAAACTTTTAAACTAACATATATACACCAAGCTATTCTGAAATTAACCAAGCAAAATCAATTTTTCGATTTAAGATAAATATATTAAATTAACATGCAATATGGAAATCTTAAATAATATAAACTATTACGTTAAACGCATTTAATTTTGAGCTCATTAATCACATTGCCTAGCGATAAAAAATCGAGTGTTTTCGCTATTCCATAAAACTCCATCATCATCCAATATTCTATGAATACATGCATTTCTTTTCATTAAAACATCTGAACGTTTATGCTAATCAGGAATTAATTAATTAGAAATTCAAATTTGGATACGAAGTATAGAACATTCAATGTACAGATACTTCTTACTACTTTAGCCTCTTACTTTAATTTCCAATAAAATCTTTTTAAAATGTAATTGACAAATATATAAATATTTTTTGTTATCTTATATATTTGTGTTACAAATTTTCATGTAAAATTTCATTCAACCGTTCTATTTCTATTATTTCTAAACTTGCTTTTATATTCTTGATATATTACATAATAAAATAACAACTAATTTTATATTATTTTTATCAAATTCTCAATGAAAATAAAAATAATTTAGCAATAGACTTTTTAACCACACATAACTGAGCACTCACTATGTTATGATAAACATATCTATAACTTCGAAAGTGCAATTTATGATTATAAAAGAAACCTCTCATATGTTAGTAAGACAAAATTAGAAAACGGTTGAATGTATAACATTTTAATACCTTTCACCATTATCTTTGGTATGTAACACTTGTATATAGTTAGTATGACCAATTATCAAATTAAGAAGTACCAATAACTAACATCTTCAATTTTGTGACTTCAGGATAGGTCCGCAAACTTCGAACATTTTGAACATTATATTTTTCCTTAGAATGTACCTGCTAGGTAGCTTCAGCTTTGTGTGCTGATTCTATGATTTCCTTGAGGCAGCGACCAAATTCCTCGATTATAAGTCTTTGTGATGTTTCATCATCAAACATGTTACGTTCTGCTTCATCAGCTTGCGCCATTAAGCACTCACACGTTATTTGTACTACTTTATCAGTCAAAAAATTAAATGGTTGCCTGTAAAATATGTATCACAAGCATGTAATTCGTAATATTTCTATCTTTTCCTTTCTTTCCAGTATTTCTTAAACATACCTTGCACCAGTATTTGATGTAGCGGGTGGCCTAAAAGCCATTTCCGATAATTGTAATTTTGTCTTATTTAGCGTAAGTTGTGCAGTTCTTACTTCGGCTGCTTCAGCTAGGTCTTTTAAAGATTTCTTCTCTAAATTCGGTTCTTCTACATTACGACACCCTATACATTTACAATTAGCAGAACAAGGAATCTTAGCCTAGTAAAATAAAAAATATTTTAGCGAAAATATTTTATTATTTTTAAAAACATTTATTTTTATGGCCATTTATTATACCTCGTAACATTCACAATAATTCTTTAAACATCCACTTCGTTTACAGTTGCAACCTTTGTTATGTCTACGTATATCATCGCCAGTTTCACGACCTTTGCCAATTTTTGGACGAAAAGCATTTGGATTACGCTCCAAACAGGACTTAATAGCACGTTGTCTTTCCTCTTCATTTCCAAGATTATTAGAACAGTTATTACAGTTGCACATATGACAAAATTCTCCATTCGCAAAGCAGTCACAATATCTGCAGCAAAACATATTTACGACTTATTGCTTTCATTTATTAAAACGCAATTAAAATAATAATTTATTAATGTGAAAATCAAATATTTCTTACATCACAAAACAATCTTCTAATTAAAAACGTAATATAACATCTATTGTGGACTGTCACTTTACAACATAATAAAAAAATGAAAAGCAATACCTGATGTTCAGTTTTTAAAAGCAGAATCATAACAATGATATTATATATTCAAAAATTATGTGAATTAGTTTACAGTCTTATGTTATACTTACAATTTAAGACATTGTGATTTAGTGCAATTGCATGGTTTTCTCGGCCGAATACCATTTGGCTCAACACTGGTATATGATCTTTGAGAGCTTTTACTTTCTATAACAGATCCCACAGATAAAGTCCCTGTTGAAGTCTGCAAATTTTGTGAATTACCTAGTAAACCAGATGTTGCTTGTTGAGATTTCAATTTTACATCGTCTGCTGGCTATAAGAGATAAATAATGTTATTCTATGCATATCACGAATATTCTAATGAAAGAAATATACTAAACCTGTTGCTGAATATATTGGGCTGGTAAAACTACAATATTTCCCACATTCGAATTTGTTGAAAGAACAGCTTGCCCAGATGCTAATTGACTTAAAGCAGATGCTGGGATAGCAACTGCATTTTTTGATTGGTTGGCTACTGTTGCAGTTGCTGGAATTAATAATCTTTGCCCACTTCCTGTTAATGCAGCCTTAGGTGCAACTGTCCTTAATGGCTGATTGCTAGTATTTAATGGAACTACCTGCATTTTGTTTGCAAAAAAAAAAACATGATGTATATAAGTAAATTTTCTAGTATTTTTCGATGACTATATATTCTATTTTTACAAACCTTAACAATCTGTTGTTGACCTCCTATTTTTTGGCCAACACCAACAGTTTGTAAAGTTGTTTGTGATTTCGTTTTACCCACAGTAACAACATTTGTAGTACCTGATGATGGAGTACTAACTAATCTTACATATTGCACCTTGAAAAGTATTGTATATTTAAAATATTTAAGCTTTAAATATTAATGCAAAGAAAAATATTGCAATGTTTTGATTTTATGAAAAAAATATTACTTGTCTGCCAGGCATTTGTATTTGATGTACTTGATTAGATCCAGTAACAATGTTTTGATTTGCTGGTATTCTAATAACTTGTCCACTTCCAAGGACAGTTCCAGGTTTTAAAGAACTCTATCAAAATATTTTATAATTAGCATAGAGATATTTAAAAAATATAAAAATTATATTAAAAATATGCATCACATGCATCCAACTAACCTGTCGTATAATCACTTTCTGTGGACTTTGTTGGACAGATGATTTATTAGAAGAGGAAAATGATGATTGCTGATTTGAAATTGTCGAAGCTTTAACTTGTGTGTTTACTGTAGGGGCAGGTAATATCTTTGTTGGCGATTTGATTGTATTACTTGGAACTATAGTCATTTTAGAGGGTTGAGAACTTGATGATTGCACTAGTTTATTTACAATTATTCCCTTTAACAAAAATAAACACGAATTAATTATTTCTGAAAGATCTTACATCTTAGTTATTTATTAATTGGAAGATTTTTAATTCTTCCTTTTCATAAAAATAATAAGAAGATAATACTTACTTTTTTCTTTATACTCACTTGTTTCTGTGGTGTTGAGGGCAAAATATGTTGAACTTTGTTAGTGGAAAGTAATCCCATTTGTTGTGCTTGTGCTAATGTTATAGTTTTTGTTGGACTTGTAACATCTTGACTTGACGAACTATTGTTTAAAAATTTTATTGCTTGTGTTTGTTGATTTTCATTTTGGGAACTTGCTATAAGAACTTGTTGACCTGATGGTGCTTGATTTCCAGCTAGTATCATTTTTGTATATACCTAAAATCATGGCAAAAAGGGAAGCTTAATAAATGTTTCAATCCTAAATACAGTAAAAATAACGAATATTATATCACGAATAATCTTACATTTCGATTTTGAGAGGTACTCTGTGCAGTACGTTTTATAGCAGACTGAGCTGTTTTTGCATTCTGTACATTTCCTAATGTGATATTTCCTGAATGACTAGTTGCCATTACAGGCTTACTAGGTTGTGCAGATCTTAACTGAACTATATTACCATCAGCAGATTTTGCCGTTATGAGAGTCTGAGCTAATGATTGTAATTGACCAGCCGATGCTGTTGACGGGTGTGAAATTTTTAAGATTTGGCTAGTACCTTGACCACCAGCTGGAGAGACTATCATAATAGACTGACTTTGCGTAACTTGACCAACATTTGACTTTACCTATTAAAATAATAAACAAATAATAATATATAACCAACGTAAGTATTATATACTGTGTACCTGTACTGTAGATGTAGGAAGCCTTTGTAACGTTGGTTTTGTTTGAAATACAATATTTTGATTATTTTGATTTGCTGTTGTATAGATAATATGTTCCTCTTGAGCTTGTTCAGAAACTTCAGTCATTTCCACATCAGGTACAATCGTTTCAGTCTCAATATTACGTCCAATTATTATATGTTCTTCATCCGTTGTCATAACTTCTTCAGCATTCATGCATTCTAACTCAGCTTGAATATTTGCAAATGCTTCAAAGTCATTGGATGAATATTGTTCATTATTATGCGATAGACTCAGTGCACTCAAGTCTCCATCACCAAGTGTACGTGAATCAAGAGCTAATGGTTCAACCAATGCTCTAGCATTTTGTCCTTTATTTATAGACATGATTACGTCCCTATACAAAATGTTACTTACTGTAGAAACTTATATATTTTAAATGAAAATAAGTATACCAATAATGTACTTCATTTAATTTGTATTGATATTATCTTTTTAGATTATTTCTTTTTACATATAATATGTAATGTAGGATTATATACAGATTTGTAACAAACTACATAATCAACTACATAACGACAATTATAATCAAAAAAGCCATATAGACATATAATATATAATTTCTTAAAATTATCATTCTCGTAAAAATCTTAAATATATAATAAAACCAAGACATTAATTACATAACTGAGTACGGAAACAAAACATACGATACAAAGATTCCTAAGCATAGGTCTATATGCTAGTATAAAATATCAAATTATAAACTATAAACAATTTTAGCAATATTTAATATCATGTCATCATATCACTTATTTATATTTAAAATAACTTTATCTAAGTTAAAAAGGTTTTCCAGATGTCTGTATCTTTCATCATAAACATGTATTTGATGGATACACAGGTTAGAAATTCATAGAATGTAAATCGTTTATATTATAAAGCTCGAAACGTTGTTAGACAATACACAGAAAGAAATATTGTAAACCAACGGAAAAATATAAAACGATTTATGAATTGACTTAAAAACGAAACGAATCGACGACGATTTAAAAATTCAAAAATTCAAATCTTTAAGATGTAGATGTGCCTTTTATAACTACGAAGGGCAGTAGGATTACCTACAAGCACGTCCAACAATATAAAGACCGAGTATAATTCGAATTTTCGAAAATTCGAACAATAAAATTTGAATAATGAAGAAAAATTCGAAGGATAGTCTACTTAGGAACATTAGCGCCATTTATTACTTGAACGCGCCATTTTCCACGAACTGAATTTCTCCAAGTATTTTAATAGTTTTAATGATTTCACAGCAAATCGACATTAATGTACGAAGAAAAATTAAACACTTAATATTTCAAATGGTAATAAAAAAGGAACTTTTCCTAAATATTCGCCTTATAATCGCACAAAATTCAACTTAACCTATAAGTTATCATTTCATATCAGGTACATACAGTGCTGGGTGGGGGCGTGCCACGAAACTTATTTTAATTTTAACAAATAATACAACAATGTCTCTTATATGCTCGTCAAGTATTTAAATTTCACTTAAACTTTTTCCTAAATAAATTAATCGTTCTTATAATACATACCTGGGTGTTCCTTTAATACCTCGAATTTGTTCAAAATCACGCGCCCACCATTGCTGTCCCACAGTGCACTACGCACCGCTGTGTACAAACAGACCCAAAGGTCGTTTAGTATTAAAATTTCAAAGAGAAACGAGAATGACAAGTTCACTGTTACTATAGAGTTATATTTTTTCTTATATGTAATTCAACAAAAGTAAACGTTTTACTTTATCAATCGAATATTACGTCAAAAACAACCAATATTTTCGCGCACTTTGCAAATTTCGATTTCGCCATTTTCACCCTTCCGCGGCTAAAAACACGTCAGCCCTTTAGCGCCCTCTTAGGCCAATAAAAAACCAAGTGTTCCAAAAACTTGAATATTTTGAATGTAAAATATTTCACGAAAAGTTGTATATTGTTATAACTATAATGTTTCTGTCTATAAATTTCTACAAATTTTATTTCTTAAATAAAGGAATGAAAGTCTACCCTTTTATTTATACAGTAACTTAGTTATTAACGTTAATATCAAATGAATTCTGTACTTAAAAAATACACGTATATTCTTATGTTGCGATAGCGAAACACAATACTAATTTGATAGTTAATGACCGTCTAATCAAGTAATGAAATTACTCGAATATTACAGAGAGCTACTTCTATATAGTAAAAATATATGTATTAATGTTGCTTATCAATTACTCCTAATTATCAAAAATAGATCTTTAAAATATAAATATATATTGAATTCAAATATCTCTTACGTAGCTTATTTTTATATAATTACTGAAAAAAAACAGGATAGATAATCAGATAACATTTAAATGCATTCTTTTTGTAAAAATATTTTCTGTTTACGATTATAATCTTACTTCCAATATTTATACATAATTTACTTGAGAAAGAATAAGTATTATAACAATATATCAATTTGGATTTCAAGTATAACGGAATCTGATTCATTAATTTATAATTTTGTCGGCTAGGTATGATGGGACTAATGAGAGATTAAAATTGCAAATGAATAATAAAATTGCATTTCTGTACACATTAGCATACATTAAATTTCATAGAAATTATAACTGTAACTAAGTACAGCTTATACAGGTTTACGACACGTATGAAATAGAATAAAGTAATCAACAAATATCTTTAAAAATTTACGAATTACATTATATAATTGATCATTTTTCTACCAGTATTTTAATTACCTACAATTTTTAAATTAATATATAACTTAAACACGTGTACTAATTTTGTTTAGATATGAAACTGATGATTTATATTTATTTTAATCGAATACAGAGTAAGAAGTATTATACTAACCCTATTCAAATTAAATACATCAACTTTTTAAATTATGGAACACGAAATGTTAAACCAAATTTATAAGTATAAGCGAGTCCACGTTAATTGTATTCTATTCAATCATGAATTATTCATGCAAAGTGTGTTAACTGATCTCAGTAATGTTCTATAAAGCGCCATCTCAAATTGTATTACGATGTACATATCTTTGTAATTATCTAATTTTAATAATCTGATAATAACATATATTGTTAAATAAATAAGAATCGGCAATACATATAAAGTACAAGATATAACAAGTTGTAGGAAAATACGTAACACAAAAACTATTATTACATGATTTATGTTTATATACAAATAAAATTTATATATTTCATTAAAATTATAATATATAAAAATTTTAATTGTTACTTATTGTAATAATTTGCATTTTATTGTTATAACATTTAGTGAAATCTATTTCTATTTATTCCCTACTGTACTTCTAGTAGCTTCCGTCCATAGTTCATGATCGCAATAGGCGCAAAAGTCATTTTTGGTTATTCATGTAGAAAAGATGGTGGTGACGGTATCTTCTGTACGTCAACAGCTCACGAATTTACTGTATGCCGGGGGCTCTCATAAAGATCAGGCGGAGAAGTAAGCTCGTTAAGTAGGATCAAAAGTATATTTTTGGAATATTCCGTACAAATGGTGATACTTACAGGTATCGAGCGATTTTGGACTCAATACTGTTATCGTCCAGCGAAGAGGCGATGGATGCTTTGAAGATATTCATTGAAGCAAGTACGTTAGATTTTTCTTATAATGTACAGAAATATATCTTCCAATTATCTGATACTATTAATTACTTATAAATATATAACATATATGTATCAAATCGTTACATGTTCATGTCTCTGTATATACAATAATTTATTAGATTAAACGTCATATCCTCATGGTTATTTACATAACTACGTTTTTATATAAATGTTCTTAAATATCAACACAACTTTTTTTTCCAATTTGTAGATAATTCTAATCTGCATTTTGTAATATGATATTGTTTCCAATGGTTTCTTAGTAACATAATAATGAATGCTTTTTGTCTTGCAGTTGTACATGAATATGTAAGTTTGGTCATCTCAAGACAAGTTTTAACGGATGTCAGTAATCGATTATTACTTTTACCTGATGAAGTGTCGATGGCTATTTCGCATTATACATTAGACAAGGTAAATTTTGTTATAATATATATTAATTGAAATATAATGAGGAGTTGCTTGCTAATGTTTTAGATGCAACCAAGAGTAATCTCATTTGAAGAACAAGTTGCTAGTATAAGACAACACTTGGCAAAAATTTATGAACGTAATCAAAATTGGAGAGAAGCAGCTAATGTTTTAGTTGGGATACCACTAGAAACAGGACAGAAGTAAATAGAAAAATCATTGTTATGTACTATCAATTCCAGATTGTTAGATATAATTATTATGTTTACGCAGGCACTATACAGTTGACTACAAACTTGAAACTTATCTTAAAATAGCACGATTGTACTTAGAAGACGATGATCCAGTGCAGGCCGAAGCATTCATCAATAGGGCATCTCTTTTACAAGTATATAGTATTCAAATTTACCTAAGTAGTATATATACCTTTAAAAACAAATTTATTTTGCGGTTTTTTTAGGCTGAGTCGAAAAATGAACAGTTACAAATATACTATAAAGTTTGTTATGCTAGAGTATTAGATTATAGAAGAAAGTTTATAGAAGCAGCACAAAGATACAATGAATTATCATACAGATCTATTATACATGAAGATGAACGTATGACTGCACTTAGGAATGCATTAATTTGTACAGTATTAGCTTCTGCAGGCAAGTATTTGTTTCATATTCTTTAATTGTTTTAAAAACAATGTATAAGCTTTGCATTAATATTAGGTCAACAAAGAAGTCGTATGTTAGCTACATTATTTAAAGACGAGCGTTGTCAACAACTTCCCGCTTACTCAATTCTTGAAAAAATGTATTTGGATCGCATTATTCGGCGTTCCGAGTTGCAAGAATTTGAAGCCTTATTACAACCTCATCAGAAAGCAAGTACAATTGATGGATTAGGATCCACTATTCTTGACCGTGCCGTTATAGAACATAACTTATTATCTGCTAGTAAATTGTACAATAACATAACTTTCGAAGAATTGGGTGCTTTGTTAGAAATTCCACCAACGAAAGCAGAAAAAATTGCTAGCCAAATGATTACAGAAGGTCGAATGAATGGGTATATCGATCAAATTGATTCCATTGTACATTTTGAAAGTAAGTTTAGAGCAATCAGTTATAGTTAATTAATAATTCAGTCTTATGGATTTAATACAAATATTTTCTATCAATAACTTATTTTCTTATGTAGCGCGCGAAACTTTACCAACGTGGGATAAACAAATACAATCACTTTGCTATCAAGTAAACCAAATAATAGAAAAAATTGCTCAAACTGAACCAGAATGGATAGCAAAAGCAATGGAAGATCAGATGGTGCATTAATATAAATTTTTTTAATATCAAATAAACATACACAGAAACTGGAACAGGAACATTAGATAAACATTTGATACATACACAACTAAAAATTTGGAGGCAATAAAGATTGTTATAATTCTACAGTGATGCTTATGCATTGCGAGTAATGTAAAATATATCATGCTCGTTAATTTTTGTTAATACGCATAAAATCAATTTTTATATGATCAATAAATAAATTTTGATTTTTCATAATACAAATAAAAATACCAAAATTTATGAAATATTTAACAATTGGTTTTTGTCATTATAGCTACTTTATTATTTACGAAAACTTAACATTAAAATAAGTATAAAATACGGATAGATTTTTATTGATTAAGCACACTTAAAAATCATTTGTTTAATATTCATCTATGACTGTTATGAACTTCACGCAAGCATATTCCAGTAAAGGGAATATTGTAATTATCTCATGTAAATAAAGCATTCACACTGCACATAAAATAAAATTTTCTTTATTTTATGAACTAATCAAAGCTTGATCCAGATTTGGCTGAATATTTAACAACTGTTGATGTATGGGAAAATAAAATTGTATGAGTACAAACCTCTTATGCATTATAAGTGCTACATAAGACAAGACTGTGGAATTATTTATAACTAAAAGTATTTATTACTATGTACTATTTAAAAAATGTGAAATCTTTATATAAGATGCCAGACTAAATTATTGGAATCTTCGTAACCAAATATGTATTTCTCAATTTGTTTCAATCCTAAAATAATCACGCTGGCAGTATTGTTTTATATTGATTATATAGATAGGAATGAATGTTATCTCATTCTGCAAATGAAAAGTAACTGTACTTGATATTTGACATCATTTAATCTCAAGTCCCTGTACGTAGCTATTTATTTAATATAATATTAAGTGCAGGTATTTTTACAATAAATTCGGTCATTAATATTATTTGTGTAGCTACAAAAATGTATGTGCAGCATCATACTGTGTTATTTTGAAATCAATCACTGAATTTATAGTTACTTTGTAACTTGGTAACATTTACTACTGAGTTGAAAAATATATTTCCAGAAATGCTTAAACACATTTTCTTCCTAATTTAATTTTATACGTATTTGCAATCAACATTACTCCATGAGTATATTTTTTATAATTAAGTTCAGAATAATTAACATTTGATTTTAATAGACTGCATGTTCATCAGGAACTGGTAAAAGGCTGCACCATATCAAATATGAGAGAATTATAGAGGAAAAAATAGAACACTTCTATTTTGGTTAAGAATTTGTAAACCGTATTGTTCATGATAAGATATTGTTACCATACCATGTTTATACGTATTATATGTGGCATCTATTTTGGGATAAACCTATCTATATGTTATAGGCAATACTTTGAAGCATGTACTGTGATACTGTCTTTATGACACAAAGGCCATGAAAAGACCTTTTGAGTGATCTAATCCTTTTGTGTCTGATTCATATTTAAGCTTGTAGGTCTAATGCAAGACCAATCTTGTGACCACCAGAGCCAAAGTTCTTTCCATCAATATTTGTAGAAAGTGTCAGAGTTACACCTAAATATATTAAAGAATATGTAAGTCAAATATCAGATATGATAATATAAATATGTAAATTAAATATGTAAGTAGATAATCAACATAATCAGTAAAGTACAATGATTTAATGGATATATTATGACAACTGATGAGAAATGTAAAATCAAATATAATATTGTTACTCTACCAAAAGTCCCTTCCTTAGAGTAACATTTTGCACGAATTAAACATCACTTACCATCACGTAACTTTTGTTGATATCCTAAACCAATTTGAAGATTAGAATTAACTTTAGCTCTGATAGATGCATCTGGGTCAAGATTATATTTTGTAGCAATTCCAAATTGTGTCACATTGTTGCTTGAATTCCACTCCAGATTAATTGCGCCTTCTAGTTCTGGTTTCACTTTGTGATAAATGAGGCCACTAAAGTCACAGCCATTGTTCCTAAAAAAACAGAATATTAAAAAATGAAGAAAATTTTATCAAATTATTCTTTCTCGTGAATATTTATAACGATTATACATACACTGCTGCGTGAAGAGTAAAGTCAGATGCGGTATATCCAAGTGCAAAGTTATTCTTTGTAAGCTTGTTTCTTTGTGTATCAAAACAAGCTTGATATCCAGCCAACCAACCTACAATTTCATCGTACTATTTTATAACCTAGTAAGTTTAATCTATTCTGTTTTACTATAACACAATCTTACATCATTCTTTCTGGAATAACAGGATACTGGGAATGTAAAGGGGAAGGACTTGAATGGAATTACAAGAAATCACATAAGGACAACAATATAATAACTATTAAATATCTGAACAATATTTAACTTTTCAAGTTCAATACTAAAAAAAGAAATGATACAATATTACATAATAATAAAAATAATATAAATATATGCCATAAACTAAAAGTATATACATGCCATCTTTTTCTTACCTTGGTATCCTACAACAGTTGATGCATTTACCAAAGGACCAGCAGAAAGACTAAGATCAAAATCAGCATTGGCTGATACGTTCTCATGTTTGTAAGATGTCTTCAGTTTTCCAGTCTTGGTCCTACAATACAAAACAATCACATATTTTTCAAAATTATTTATTTTAGGTACATGCAAAGCAGGGATAAGTAAACTATAAGATGCAGATAAAATTAAATGATATATTTTACCCTGTTTGTGGAGAGAAAGTACAGCCATAGCCAAGGGTAAGACCTTTGAGCAATTTGTCGGCAAAAGTAACATCAGTAGCAAGTGTATTATCAGTATTCCACTTTTCACTAAATTTCAATCCATAGTCATCAATACTATATTTGGTTTCTAAAGTACCAAATACTTTTCCACTATCTTGATTAGATACCCCACCACTAGAGAATTCTACACCAGACTTAGTTTTTGTTTTCACATCCAATTTGATTAGACCAAAATGATATCCACTGGAAAATAAGTCACGAGCACTTTTGCCTAAATCACTATATGCTGGTGGAGCCATGATCTATGCAAAAACATTAAAGAGATACACTACATTTATTTGCCAATTAACAATAACATAAATTTATATAATGTATGCATATAAAATACAAATATTTACTTTATTTAAAGAAAAGTGTAAGTAGGACATTTTCATTCATAAATAAAAAAAAATATTGAATTTTAAAAATATATTTTTCTAAATTATACATTTAAATATGCTTAGCATTAAAGCGCTAAAATGACAATAATCTCTAATCTGAATGATAAGTAATCGAAAAATTCAAGTTATTATCTCACAATCAATAAATGATGTGTCAGTCATAATTAACTTACAAGTATATTTTTCAATTACAAAATAAATAAAGAATGAGATTCAGTTAATGAAAAATTGCTAGCTACATATAGCGTAGGAGTTGCAATTTTCCTTGAAAATTATTTAATGCATTTCGTAATAATTAATACATATGCGAGAAAAATGAATATCAAATTAACTATGTATATACTTTCTGACAGAAATTTTATTGTAAATAATGAATTACGGGGCTAATAATGCCAATATTAAGAAAAACAAAAAAAAGAAAATACACTAAGTAACAATATGTAATTAATTTAACAATAATACAGAGGAAAAATGGAGTGATATTGACCTGTCTTGGTATTACATAAGGTGTAAACCAGCAATTTCTAATTCTCAAAATTGAATTGAATTTTACACTATCACACCCGAAAATATACTTGTTTAATGAAAAAAACGTTATTGATTAAATCACAAAGGAAAGATAAAGCGTTTAAATTCATATGGGTTTACAAAATTGATAGAAATGGTTTTTAACACTGCCAAACGACAGTCCAGCGACATGACTAGCAACTCATGCCGGCTTTACAAATATTTAATTTTTCTTGCAAATTTTCACGTAATCTGTGTGTATGAATAAGGAATCTAATTTAGATCTAGGATGTATAAATAATGGTATTCGTTGGTACTTACTTATGTTCTATGTTATAAGACGCAAGTGCAGAAAACTGCAAGACTTCGTCTCGTTGTCCCTTAATTGCGTACGTGAGACGATATGCGAATCGGGAGAGGAAGACGGAACCTTCGCGCAACTGTGCTTGCGCATGCGCAGTGTAACTTCCAAATAAGCTAGACACTATTTTTATGTGAAAATTTTAATAACATACATAGAATAAAATTAATTTATACAAATAGGAGAATGTTCCTCTTTTATTAAACAAAATACATTCAGCAATTTAATCTTTATATTGATTTACTTTCTACATATTATGTAACCTTGAAGATCACCCTCATAGGCGTGGATCTTGCACACATCCTGATCACCCGGTACTGTTTATTGAGCGTTGAGTAAAAGATAAAGATATATAAAGGAAAAGTATCGAATAGTATACTAAATACATATTTAATTCATACTCCTATCAAGCATACGCTTATTACTAAAAACCATATACGTCTCTCTAATTGACTATGTTAATTTTAAATGCACTGTATAAACGGTATTTATATATTATGTAAATAAACGACATATATCAAACTCTTTAATTATAGTAGGATATTATATTTCAAACTTTAAAAAGTTTGGATTAATGTACTGAACAAACGGAAAAATTTTTGAAATTTCTCCAATTATAATTTCCTTTTTTTCCTACTAAATGAACTTTTTCTTTGTTGAAAATCTGGAATTCCAATGGGCAATTTTCAGTAGGAAGCAACCTCAATCAAGTCAATTGCACACGTAAAGAAACTGTTGATCAATCTCGTAAGAAAATTAGATTATAACTAGTTGTCAATATACAGAAGAAGAATCCTGAGGGCACGAAGTTAATAGAACTTCTTTCAAACTTCAATATATAAAGGTAATTGTATATTAAAATAGTTGGTCAAAACTATCTATTATTCCTAAATTTTCATTTCAAAAAGTTACTCATCCGTAATCTTCTGTCACATGAAAAAGGTACTGAAGATACAGCGAAGAAAATAGCGAAATGTACATAATTATTTATATGGTTATTAGATGAATAGTCATAAAAATGACCAGTCTCATTTTTTGACCATTTCGTGAAACTGTCGAAGCAATTAAAACTGGACATTTTCGGTTCCCAAAATAGAATAGTTGCTCGACGCAGAGTGTGTAACTACCATTTCTACGCGAACTGAGACTCTTCCCGAAAGACGATGGTGAACGATCTAGATCATATCTTGGCAGTCTCTTCGTGGATAGTATATTTTTATTAAAGCGAATATATATATATATAAACGTCTGTGCAAAATTAATTTTCAGTCTGTTTGTATCCTTCTTCTGTAGCAGATCGTGCAATTCGGTTCGAATCCGAAAGAGGCGTACAATACAAGCGAACTTGAGGAAATTATTTCAGTATCAATATTGATCGATCGTTGATCAACCATGTCACAAAAAAGCTTGGTATGTATCATAAATTAATAAAATCTGTTCCGTTCATGCTGAATGTTCTTGTTGTAAATTAATTTTATTGTTTTATTTGCCCGCATAAACCCGCTAACAGCATACTGTAGATTATAAAATATTTAATTTTATTGTTTTATTTGCCCGCATAAATCCGCTAACAATATACTATAGAGTATAAAATATTGCGACTTGACTATAATTTTATCGTTAATGGAAAACTCATGCTGAACACATTGCGTTTAGCATATTTAAACTGCATTTGCATTTAATATATCCAAATTTTGCGTCATACTTCTATAATAGACGAAGCTTTCACTGATCGTTTGTTGCACACTATTAAAAAATAACAAGCAAATAGTCTATAATACAAAACTATGTACTGGTCTTACGAAATCGATGTACCGAATTGATTTGTTTGCATACGCAAGCTTCTATACAGCATGTACAGTGATGTTGCTTTCCGCGTTACATTTATTGCACAAAAATGATTCTGCTGCGTATTTACGTTAAAAATGAAAATAACAATCTACAATTTTCAATTACGAGTCAATTTTTCAATAATACAAAGCTACAGCTTTAAAAATAATAATGTTGTTCATTAGGGGGAATCGACGCCAACGGGGAAAAGCACGGCGACATACAAAATTCTTCAGAATGACAAAGTGGGAAGGTAAGAAAGTATTTTTCTTCTTCTTAATCGACTATATTACGATTGAAATGAACACTGTTTGGTAAATCTTTAAAATACTTTTTCTCAGGTACATGGTCGCCAGCAAAGAGTTGGAAGCAGGGGAAGAAATTGTCACAGAAATGCCTTTTGTAGTTGGACCAAAGGCATTCACATACCCTTTGTGTCTTTCCTGTTATGCAACATGGCCTCCATCGTTAAGCGCTAAACCTCTTTGTTCAAAATGCGGTTGGCCTGTATGTTCAGAAGAATGCGAAAACCAACCGCAACACAAGGACTATGAATGTCAGGTAGAAATCAGGAGAATATAAAAACAGTAAAACTATCTTCCACTTTATGCGATTAACGCTTATTTGCAAATAATTTTCGTATATTGCAATCAATTGTGAAGCCTTCGCTAATAATACATTGTCAATTTGCATACTTTGTAGGATATAAGAGAGAAAAGAAGGTGTTAAAAACGGAAAATGAAAGTGTGAAGATGTTAAAAGACGTGTGATTTAGAAATATGATTCGCTTTTATGCTACTCATCGAACGACAAACTATGATACTCACGTATCTTATTTGTAGGTATTCGTACAAGCCAAGGAGAAGTTTAACGTGCAGGCTGCTCTGGAAGAAGCAAACGAAAATGGAGTGCCGCAATTGGAATGTATAACTCCGTTAAGATTGCTTCTAGAATCGGAGAGAAATCCTGAAAGGTGGAACAATGAGATAAAGGATATGGAGGCTCACAATAAAATAAGAAGTCAAAAGAAACATTGGCAATCAAATCAGATTAATATAGTGGACTATATAAGAAAACAACTGAAATTAGACAGGTAATTACTCGTCAATCTCGCGAGAGAAATAAGTAATTTTATCATCGACCTATGTTTCGTTTTGTTTCGTCGCAGATTCTCGGAAGAACAAATTCATACAGCATGTGGAATTCTAGAAATCAATACTTTCGAGATTCGAACAGCGAAAGGGTGTAGCGCGAGAGCATTGTATCCAACAGTGGCTCTAATGAATCATTCGTGTATCTCTAATACATGCCACAGCATTTCACCAACTGATTATAGGTAAAATGATAATTGTTTAAATTCAGTAACAAATCGCCAAGTTACTTGATAAAAAGTATCTAAAGAACTTTTACTCGGTTCACAGAGTACGATTACGTACCACCCTCAAAATTCCTGCCGGTGGAGAACTTTACGGAAGTTACACACATTCGTTACTTCCTACGCTATTGAGAAGAGAACATCTTCTCGAAGGAAAATATTTCGCCTGTGCCTGTCCAAGATGTTCAGATCCCACTGAACTTGGAACGCATGTGTCTTCGTTGAAGTGCAACAAGTGCGATAACGGAATTGTGTTATCTTTAGATTCTCTGGGTAAAAATATCTCGTATGACAGCCTCGCTAACGATATCGACTGATCCGCATACAATTAAGAATACTATTAACCGTAATCGCAATTTCCAATTAAATTTATGTTACAGATCCAGAAAGTTCATGGAAATGTACGCATTGTGAATTCACGACATCGGGATCAGCCGTTCGAAAAGTGTTGCATATCATACAAGCAGAAGTGGATGCAGTAGAGACCATTAGCGGTGCTGATGGAGCTGATGCCATTCAGGAAAGGGAAACAGTGGTGAAAAAATATCGTTCTGTTTTACATCCTCGACATGGTTTCCTTACGATGCTCAGGTAAGTATAATCTTATTAATATGGTAATTCATATGCGTGATAAGTGTTTATCAGATTATGCGGTGTAGATAACAAACGATCGAGAGTCGACCGAGATAGAGACAGATAAAATATTTATATTATTATATCGATTGCCATTGAAAGGCGATTGTAAGAATACACGTGGAGATTGAAATGTATAATGATGTATGGTGACACGTGGTAAATTTACGTCTGTGTGTAAAGTTTCGTGCGTATACTGTATGAATGGGAAGAATTATCCGCTTATCGTGTATAAATTATGCTGAAATCTCAATTGGCAAATCCACAAAGCTGTCTCTCAATAGATACAAATTTTGATACTTATTTTGTCGGTAATGTTAAAACCGTGGTAAGAGGATTTAGAAGATTGAAATAATCCAGGAACTTCGCTTTGCAGACATTCGTTGACACAAATGTATGGCCGCGTGGACGAGTACCTCCTAGATGATTTGCCTGACGTCGTATTAGAACATAAAATCGATATTTGCAGGCTGTTACTTCAGGTCTTGGACGTCATAGAACCTGGCTATTCTCGTATAAGAGGTAAAGGATTTATAATTATCTACCATTTGTTACTGTACTTTCAATGATAACGCACCTTATTTCCTGAGATATCTACGCCAAATGTCAATTAAACAATAACGAACTTCTGTTAATGGATGATGTTTTATTAACGATTGTTATTAATATTTTGCTTTTACCGATAAAGGAATGACACTTTATGAGCTCCATGCGCCTTTACTTTTTATCGCTAAAACGCAATGGAACGCTGGAGTGATCGACGAAGCTGCCCTAAAATCAAAAATGATAGAGGCTGCCAACATTTTGAAAGAAGCGGCATTAATTTTATGCTTAGAACCACCGGACACACCGGAAGGTCAAATAGGTATCGTTGCTAAAGAATCTCTGGCTCAACTCGAAGAATCAATCAAAAGTTTATAAATATTTATTGTAAATATATGAAGCTTTGTACGAACGTATTTCTTTGTTAATAAAGTTACGCAAGACCGTACGTACGTACGTAATAAATACATATATCATGTTTCAATACGAATATAATGTATTCAACATAATGTTTCTTACTAAAAACTTATCACATATCAGATCTCATCTAACGAACGACGACGAACACAAATGAAGAAAATAAAACTGTCTCTGATTCTCCAAATCCCTCTCGTAACAGATTAATCATTTTTAATCTTCGTCAAACTTACATCGGTCTTCTATTTACATCTAAATTTCTTAGAAGATTTCATCAACACCGGAAGAACGATTTATTTAAAATGTGGACGATCGTGGAAGATTGCGGACCCTAAAGCCATTACCTACGCATTGTTTTGTTACGAATACTCGACAAGCACGCGCTACGCTACTTCTAATAATAATATAGCGTATCGAGAGTACTAAAGAGAGACGACTCCCGCTACAACTTCCTGTATTTCGGTGTCAGTTACGAACCGTAGGAAATGCACGATACCGTCAAACTCTCACGCGTCTAAGTATCGTTAGTCTCGCATAAGACACGTAAGTACATACGTTCTTTCAAGCAATTGACGAAAATAGCTGGACTAATATACCACGATGGAAGGAAAATCGAAAAACGCTGCGACTCCCACGTTAAAATATAGAGTTGCTTACTCAGAGAAGCTGGGCAGGTATAAACACATACAGCACATATATCTTAAACAAATATAACGCGATAGGCATCTAAAAGCGTTGAAATAGCATCTATTGGCAGTATCGTGTTAATAAATTCTTGGATTATATTTAATCTCAATCAAAAAGCAAATATGATATTGTATATCATGATATATACACTTTTGATCTTCGCAACTAATTTGATTACGAATTGAATTGAAATCACGTGTGTATATATCACGTTAGATGTGTTGTGTATTTTGACATATATTTATATATCGTCTTTTATAAGATATTTACAGGCGGCAAAGAATTTAACAGCAGGCGAAGTGATACTTCGCGAAGAACCGATCGCTGTTGGACCTATAACTTCCAGCAAAGATCCGGCATGCTTTGCGTGTTTGCGTTTGTTGCCAAAAATCAAGAAAGAACTACAATATGTTTGCTCAAAATGCAACATTGCGCCTCTGTGCAGTACTGCCTGCGAGGTAGATGCAAAAATAATTCACTCGTTTTACTCAAACATCCTCTCTAAATTTCCTCTTTAATCGCTACAAAATTTAACAAAGCGCACCTTACATACTCTCTTTACTCTCTTGGAGGAAGATACACTATTTTGTTAGGCACCGTCAGTTATCATTGATCATTAGTGATATTTCAGGAACGATCGAAACATCATACGCCGGATGAGTGCGAAATTTTCAAACGCAATAAAGATTTATTAATAAACAATACGGAAAATATCATCGGTGTATTATTACCGTTAAGGTTATGGCTCTTGAGACAAAGAGATGCAGAATTATGGAAACAAGTCGAATCTATGGAAGCTCATACAGATAAGAGAAGAAACACGTCCGTCTGGAAAGATAGAGAACTAAATGTCGTAAATGTAAGTAAAACGAAGCAACTAATTATGAAAGACGATTAATTTTCTATAATAAATCTTCTCGTTTCAAATAGGTGATAAAATCGCTTCATTTGGTTCCTGATGGCGACCCATCTGTCTCAGAGCTCCTCCAACTGTTGTGCGGAATTTTAGACGTTAATTGTTTCGAGCTCAGATCTCCAGGAGGTCTGGATGGACTTCTTTTACGAGGTTTATATGTGGAGGCCTCCCTGATGGCTCACGACTGCAGGGGTAACACTCATCTAACTGCTGATGACAATTTTCAGCTTACTGTATACGCCAGTTTACCGATCAAAGAAGGCGACGAAATCTACTTCAATTACACCTCGTCGCTTTTGGTTTGTTTATTCGCTTATTATAAAGATTTTTACTTCACAAAATCCAAATCACTCCGCGTGAGAAATTTTGTTAAATCATTAAAATACTATTATACCACGTTATATTATGTACGAAGCTTCTAACGATTAAAATTACAAATTGTAAAGGTGTGCAGATCTATCAATTGTTTATCGATCGCATTGAGAATTGATCATTTACATGTTTCATTGCTAGGGAACCTTAGGTAGGAGAGAACATTTGCGAGGTGGAAAGTATTTCGAATGCGAGTGCCCATTATGCAGCGATCCATACGAAATGGGATCGTACATGAGCAGTATTCTGTGTCCACGATGTAGAGAGGGTTACATAGGAATGCAAAACCCTCTGACAAAGTTTCCATACGAAAAAGGAACGAGATGGCAATGCAACAAGTGCAAAAGCTCCATCGGAGGTCGTCTTGTCAGAGCCACTTTAAATATAACCAAAACATTGATCGACGATGTGGACGATTACGATATTAAAGTTCGTATATGATAGAATTATGATGATTGTACATTATTGAGCATCTATCTAATTTAATATATATCTTGATTTTTATCTTGATTTTTATTTTTAATAATCAAGGGATTGGAAACTTTAATGGCGAAATTGTCGAAATCTTTCCATCGAAATCATTTTCTAATGCTATCATTGAAACAAAAGTTACTAGCTGCCTATAGAAAGGAAGTGGCAACGCCAAATCCACAAAAAAAAATTATGCAGAAAATGTCTGACGTATGTAAGGAAATGTACGATATGCTTGAAATTACCGAACCAGGAATATCTCGATTGAAAGGTATTTTTAATCGAGTAATTTATTTATTCGACTTAGTAAAATCAGCGAAAAATGATATTAACCGAATTTTAATTCTGCAGCAACTTTAAATGTGTTTAAATATCAATTTAGTATGCATATACATGTACGTATATGAATAAAGTACGTCATCCATTACTATACATATATTTTTTAGGAATAATGTTATACGAAATGCACTTACCACTAGTGTTGTTAGCAAATCGTGCATATTCCGCACGAGAAATTTCTTCAAACGAATTAGCTTCGCGCCTTGAAGAGGCCGGGAGTCTCTTGAAGAAGTCCCTAACGATGCTCCTTTTAGAACCAGTGGACACGCCAGAAGGGAAATTGGCCAAACGAGCTTTGCAAGAATTAAAAGCGTTAAATCAGAATATAGTCGATGTTAAAACTATCAATGAAACCGAGGAAAGTGGCAATCGTGATAGAAAAAGATTACAGAAAAATAAATCTAACAAAAACAAATAGAGAAATAAAAATACTTAAAATACCCAAGAGAATCATGTCTTTTACGTTAAGAATAATGATTGCTATATGAATTAACTTTTATCATCCTTTTTATAAAGATGTACATACAGGAAATAAAGATATATTGGTAATTTAAGTAAACAAAATTTTTGATAATTTTGTATTATTTTAAGCGCCATACGTGACACTAGTAATCAAAAATGTCACTATATTGTTTTAGTAATGTTGCAAAATAAATTATATTATTCTTATTTAAAATTGTATTAATATTTTTTAAATTATTTTTAATAACATTAAAAAGAATTTGAAACTCTTAATCATCATTTCCTTATAAGAAATTATCCTCGTCCGTTGAGATTGTTCTGGTTTAATAGTTATCGGTTTCTGTTTATCTTGAACGATATTAGAATGTGTGATATGTTTAGTATATATATATATGGAAATCATATCCAAATGTAATTTTAAAAAGCTAATTCATTATTTAATATAATACATAACATGAGTTAAGCAAACGATTTAATTTATAACAAAATCTGATATATCAACTGAAACAACACAATTGACTGAAACATAAAATATTCAACATTTATACGTTAAAAATCTAAATTCACAAGTTTACTTACTTCCTAATATATTCGCTATCGTAAGTAGATAATATTTTAGAGGTTTACAAAGTTTAATAATATATGTAAGTCAAATATAACCTCAATGATAGAAGTGTAAATAAAACAAATTATTGCCATTTTATTGAATACAGTTTGTAATAAATATTATTCTTGTGTACAATACAAAATTAATAGCTTGTTACAATAAACATAATTATATATAGCGGATTATTAATTTCCTTAATTCATATAACACGATATATTTCTATTTTAGCAACTAAAATAGCATGTTTGACCAGAGCATTATTGGAATATGTTTTTGTATTTGCTTAGCAGTAGTTTTCAACTTTTCTTTACATCGTATAGAAGAAGGTCATGTTGGTGTTTATTTTAGAGTAAGTAATTTATAAATATATTTCATTCTAATATTATAAACATTATAAGCATTTCTATGCTACAGGGTGGAGCATTATTGCCTCAAGTCAGCAACCCTGGGTTTCATATGATGATACCCTTATTAACAACATACCGCTCTGTCCAAGTTACACTACAGACAGATGAAGTAAAGAATGTTCCATGCGGAACAAGTGGAGGTGTAATGATTTATTTTGATCGTATAGAAGTTGTAAATATATTGGATGCAAGTAGTGGTAAGAATTTTATTATGTTAAACTAGAAGTTATAAATTATTGCAATATTGTATATTAATTCTTTTAATTATAGTTTACAACATGGTGAGAAACTTTACAGCAGATTATGATCAAACATTAATATTCAATAAGATTCACCATGAATTAAATCAATTTTGTTCTGTACACACATTGCACGAGGTGTATATAGACTTGTTCGATCAAATAGATGAAAATTTGAAAACTGCTTTACAAAAAGACTTAAATGACTTAGCACCTGGTTTAAGTATTCATGCAGTTAGAGTTACTAAACCAAAAATTCCAGAAACCATCAGAAAAAATTATGAGTTAATGTAAGTACCATAGATTTAAGTTCATGATAGATTCTATTATAAAAAACTTGAATAATATTTTAATAACTATTACAGGGAAGCAGAGAAAACAAAACTTTTAATTTCAACACAGCATCAAAAAGTCGTCGAAAAGGATGCAGAGACTGATAGAAAGAAAGCTGTTATTGAAGCAGAAAAAGAGGCACAAGTAGCAAAAATACAGTATATTCAAAAAATTATGGAAAAAGAGTCACAACAACGAATAGCAGCTATTGAAGATGAAATGCATTTGGCAAGACAGAAAAGTCGTTCAGATGCTGAACATTATCAAACAAAAATGCAGGCTGAAGCAAATAAGCTTCTTCTTACCCGAGAATTCTTAGAACTAAAGAAATATGAAGCACTAGCACATAACACAAAAATATATTATGGTCAAGATATACCAAAAATGTTTATGTTGGATGTTACTCAAGTATCAAATTAACTCTCTAGTACAAACTCAGATGTGGATGTTAAAAAAAAATAATTATAGAAATGAGTGTTTTCTTTTTTTTAATATATTTTGAACAATGTAATGATTGTTTTATGTTCAATCCATATGATGAGCGGTATTTTATAATAATTATAAAAACGATAGTAATGATAGTACTCTGATGAAATGAAATATAATTTGCATGTAAATTTATACAATTCATCAATTTATATACTATAATAAATTATACATTATCACTGTTTCCTTTTTTACTAACTTTTGTTAGGATAAACGAAATTTTCTAATAAAAGTATTGTTACAAATTACATTGATGTTGAGTTACTATATATTTAGTTTGTATCTAAATTGTCCTGTAGTTGCTCTAAAATAAATAATACAATTTCATCTCAAACATTATAAATACGGAATGTAAAGTCAAAATAAACAAAATTTTTAAAATTGGGCCATATTTTTAAATAAAACCAAATCATTAGTTTTAATTATAACCTATGATTCACTTAAATGTTAATATATCTCTAGAATTACTAAATTATTAACTTACAGTTTTACAGTTTAATTTACATTTATAGTTTTTAATAACAAATATCTAACAACTATTTCAAATTCGAACTGCGTTCCAAGAGTTTCTTTTAGCATGATAGTTTAAATGCGATGTGCGCGCATTCTACGTTTATCATATGACAACCTGTCAAAAGAAGCATTTGATAGTCCTAATATTTAAGATTTATTAGACTTAAATAAGTTTACAATCTGTCGCGTAGCTTATCATAGTGAATATTAAAGATGACAGCAGTAAGTTTTCCGATTATATTTTATTATTTTATAAGATACAATATAGTCTATATTTTAAGGTTAGATATAGATCAAGTTAATTTAAAAATATTTATAAAATATTTATGGAAAGAATATGTATTTTATGGATAGAAATACTATAATTTGCAAAAGTACATATAGTATCATAATATTGTTGTTAATTATCATTATTTATTTCTTTGTTTTTGTTATCTCAGGAATTAAGAAAATTTCTTTATGGACTTTTAAGTAGTGTGGAAGGACTTCATAGTATACTGATAACAGATAGGGATGGAGTACCTGTCATATCTGTAACTGATGATACGACACCTGAATTAGCTATGAGAGCAAGTTTCTTATCTACATTTGGCATGGCAACAGATCAAGGAAGCAAACTGGGTTTAGGGAAAAATAAAACAATTATATGCATGTATAGTAGTTATCAGGTAATAAAAAAAGTACATATTATTATTATTATTATCATCATCATTATCATTATTATTATTATTATTATTATTATTATTATTATTATCATTATCATTATTATTATTATTATTATTATTATAGAATATTATTATTTTTCATTAAATATAAGACTAACAAATAAATGTAAAAGCTAATGTAAATCTAATTATTAATTTATTTTGTAGGTAGTTCAGATGAACAAATTACCCTTAGTAATAAGTTTTATTGCAAGTCATAATTGTAATACAGGCCATATCTTATCTTTGGAAACTAAAATTGATCCAATCCTAAGTAACTTAAAAAATGCAGTAGTGGAAGCCTGATGGTTACCTGTTGTGCATTACGGGTGATAAATACCAAAAGTTTGCACTTAAATTTGGTAAAAACTTGTAATGAACAGATGTTCTATGATGTTTTAAATAATGGTGGGGATATTTTTCCCTAATTTATAAGAAACTGGAGGGTTACATTCTTTCATAATTGTGTTTTCTTTGATTAGTTTCAAAAAACATTTTAAATATCTGTCTAAAAAAAGGGAAGTATCCTAAACCTTTTATAAGATAATGCAAGAAATAAAGAAGAAGAGGTAGATACTACAAATTTTTATAATAAGTAGGAAATTATCGCAAGACATCAGAGGCATTTTAATATTTCCAAAATATATTTGATGAGCCATTCGGAAATTTTACATATATAGGTAATATAAATTTATGTAAAAAGACGCGATATTAAAATACATGTTATAGATGTATATGTATATGTGTCAGTTAATATTCTTAAATATGCTAGGAATATATCACTGTATCATTATATTACTTCAAACAAATATATAGTCTTAAATTATGTAATAAAACTTCATACATGCAATAGAACATATTAGTTACAATTCATATATCAGTGGCTTACCCTCTAATCCATTGAGAATGTTTTGTGCTGCGGTAAGAGACATATCATTTCGTGTCTTCGTAGTAGCACTGCCCAAATGAGGTATGACCACTGCAGTACATTTTATATTTGTTAATGTATATATATACAACTTTGCTATATATTTCTACAATTAACTAATATGTACACATATTACATGAAAATATAGAATGGAATTTCTGTTAATAAAGATATTAAAAAAAGGATAAATATATTAATTCATTTAAACCTTGCATTTATATGATTAACGATATTTACCAGCATTGGGAAGTTTAAGAAGTTCGTGATCGGGAGGCAATGGTTCAGGATCCGTAACATCAAGACCCGCCGCAAAAATTGTGTTATTACGCAATGCTCTAATCAAGGCATCTGTCTTTACGATTTGCCCACGGGCAATGTTTACGAATACCGCGTTTCTTTTCATTTTGCTAAAAGTATCATCGTTAAACAATCCTCTAGTTTCATTATTTAGGGGGGTAGTGACAATTACGAAATCACTTTGTGCAAGAAGGTCGTCAAGAGACACATAATGCGCTCCAAGTTCATCCCCTATTTAAGATTGAAATACAGATAAACAATCCTATCAAAAATGCATATTTCATTTTTATCTATACATTTATAAATACCTGCTTTTTTACGAGAATGTCCGGTATAAATGAAACGATCTACATCGAATCCTTTCAGTCGTTTAACAATAGCTTGTCCAATATTGCCCAAACCAACAATGCCAACTGTTGATCCTCTTAACTCTTGACCAAGTAACCATTGCAAAGATCTTGCCACTTGTCCTCTAAATTTTTAAGAATTTTATATATGTGTATTAAAAGACACTTAACATTTTCTATAATTAAGATAAGTAAATCTATCCTTCTAAATTTTTGAATAAAATCCGAATAAAATTTGTATAACATTTCTTGAATAGATATATAATTTTAACTTGATTAATTACAATTTTCAGAAGCGATTGAATAAAAAGTTTGTGTCTAATTACTGTTCAAGTTTTAGACGTCCTTCATGAGTTCGTCTTGCTGCATTTAATGTCAGAAGTACTGCAATTTCTGCAACTGCAGCTGATAAAACCATAGGAGTGTGACCAACTTTGATACCTCTTCTTTTAATTTCGGGAACATCCAAATGGTCATAGCCAGCTGACATTGTTGAGACGACTTTCAGAGAAGATCCTATTTTTTGATATTTCTTTAAATTTCATTTATGAAAGACGTATACATTTACATTTTGTTGTTTATAATTTGAAATAGATATATATAGTAATATGTCAAAAAATACAATACTCAATACAACGCCGTTACTTAAGCCGATTATTTCAACAAAAAAGAAAGTTAATAGACTTCTAATAAATTCTGAAATGCGGACTCAATTATTCATAATTATGAATAATGCTTATTCCATCAATTAAATTTTAAAAGTCTGAGTTGATTAGCGCCGTTACTGTTGGCTTATTTTAAAATTCCGCGACAACATAAACCATCATATAATCTAAAAGATTAATATGACTAAATATTTACCTGCATTATTAAGAAAATCGCTATTTATACTGATATGTCCAGTAACAAAGATAGCATCATGACCAGGAAGAACTTGCAATACATCTTCTCGATTAGGCATAGCCGTCTGAATGATTGTGACATCGCATCTAAACAAAAAGTATTAAATTCCAAGTAACATATAAGTATGTACCATTAAAAATTCACAAATAATTGTGAATTGTTCCAATAATGTCCATTATTCAAATAATTTCAGCATTACAGTGGTCTTCTTAATTTTTTCTTTTTTAAATCACTATAAATAACACTAGTAAATATTCTTTCTTAAAAAGTATACTTACTTCGTCCGCAAGAGATCTATGCCAGATGTTGGCACATCGTTACTCGTAACCAATACACGTGGTTTCATTGTTCTTTTATGGCGTTCTGTCTACAATAAAAATCACTTTGTAAACTATTAGTAAGCAGTAATATTCCGCGCCTTATATAACGCCACGATCTGACTTTATGCGCAAGCGCATACAATTCGATCGAAAGATAAAAAACAAACATAAGAGGGACATGATATCTCTCTCTTTTTTTTTTTACCATAAAATTGATTATTGTTGAATGTACATGTAATTATTACTAATATAAAAGTGTACTTCTCACATGGAGATATACAAAGGAAGGAAAACATATTATATACATATTAGAATGAAATAGAGGTTTGAATAGAATTATTTAACATTATGTGATAACTATTTAACATATATCCAACACACATAGCAGAGATAAAAATTTCAATTTCAAAATTATTTTGAGTATATACGTATGTATATATGTACATGTATATATAGTATTAATTCAATGCGTACGATTATATTTTCACTGTGTTAATATAAGTAAGAATAACGTAAATCCAAATGTGGCGCGTTTATTTACTGGAAACTTACTTCCTCTATCATATGTTTCCCTATTCATTAGAGACGCCACTTTCTGCGAATGATAGACAAGTTAGCGCGTGTCTATCAATGATGAAAGCCATTTTGTTTTCTAGCACGATTGCACGTCAATAAAATGGTAATAAAATGTAAGATATAATAATCAATATGTTAAAATAGCATCACAACTGCTTCGAAAATGTACAATTTAAGCAAACGCCTTGAGTATAACATATAGTATGTGCATACATTATTGTTCTTATATTTTTCATATACATATATAGATTTTACATTAACAATACTAATTTTTAGTTACTAGAAATAATTTCCTGTCATAGAATACGAGAAATTTAAATAATAATTCCAATAAAACATATTAAGTAAAGTGTTGAATAATATATTGGACCTGATATACATTAGTTAAACATGTTAATGATTACTTACTTACAAATACATATGTATATATATATATATATTTAGTCATTTTGCTGTACTTGATAATTAACAGCGATTTTCACTTATCTATCAATCATTCATGAATTTTTAAAGAGACTGACTGAGTAATTTCACATATTTCACTTAAAATAGTTTACCTGCTTTGTAAAGCGCACAAATTACATATTTGTATCTGTTATTAATAAAGTAATAATAAAGTAAGTCTCAACTCCTTTAGTGATTCCAAAGCGTGAGGTATCAGGGAAATATGAAGAAGCATATCATGGATATATCTATGTATGTTATCCGTAGAAACGTATCGAGTATTATTCATATGTGTGTGTGGGCTACTCTTACTGTGTAACTGTTCTATCTATAACCAGGTATAGCTATGCTAGAACATATATCTAGTAATGTACAATAACTTACTAAAGAAAATTTTATATTTTTTTTTTGTGTTTTTAAATATTAACTTCTTGTTTACATAATAATATAATAAACAGAAACATGAATAATTTTCAGACATCAACCACGATATCCTGTTATCCATTCGTATATCCTGTAGTTCATTCGTAAACCACTTATTTCCTCAATATTAGCTATATACATCGATCAAATGTGAAACTTTTGAAAAGTCCATAAATAATTTAATAAATCTTAATTTCTTAAATCAATTATTATGGATAAATAAATGTTGCTATAGTATTTTATTGTTTAATAAAAGGAAGATCGTATATATGTATGTATATATATAGTGTATGATTTCATATCCCAAAAGTTATTTACCAATACCTCGTTAACATGGATAAGGGGGTGTCCTGAATTAGAATATTTCAAAACAGCGTTTTTATTTTATTTTTTTTTTTTTTTTAGAAGGGAAAGAAAGAAATGAAGTTATTGAATCTTGAGGTATGGTTTTATATATATCTAACGAATACAAAAAAATTTTTTTTAAAGTAAAAAAAAATTAAAACAGATTTCTAAGCCTATTTCATGGGCGTCTTGTCGCTGTAGTCTTCAATCGGCGGGAAAGATTCATCTCTTAATTCTTTTTGTGAACTAAACAACGGCAGAAAAAATCACAAAAAAACGCCGTTTTAGAACATTCTAATTCAGGACACCTCCATGATGTATACCTACCTTAACATATCAATTTCCATGGAATCGACGATTACGCGATTTCGAAGCTCGTTCAGAGGTCGATTTTGTATTTTTTGGATAACTTGCCATGATATTCTTACGAAGTGTATCTGTCAAGAATTTGAACAAGCTAACCGTTGATGCTACAAACTACTAAATAAATCATACACATTTATACTTCTATTAGACACGTTAAGACTCAAATAGATGCAACCATGGATTATAACTATTGTATTGAACGACTCTTCAACCTTTTTCAAGTATGAAATTCTGTAAAGATAGACGGAATGGCGATCGCTCGCACACCTGCTCTTTGTCACTTTGTAAACATATTTTTAAATAGTTTATCTATCAATTTAAGCAATAAAAAAAAACGATTTTTTGACATTTTAATTCAGGACACCCCATTAATATTGTATCATTATCAATAATTCATTTATCAATAATTATATCCATGTATTCATTGCTAATGTAAACAATACATTTAAATCAACTGTCATGATCTAATTTTGGTGACGACATCATGACCTCTTTTGTACCGGTACCAATATAACAAACAAGATTTATAAATTTTATAAATATTTATACTTATGCATATTTTTAAAATATTCCTAAATATTTTTCGTCTGTAATGAATATAGTAGACAGCTATATAAAATAAGGAGATTATATAAAAATTTGCATGTACTTTTTTAAACAAATGAGTAATTCCTTAAAGCACATTTTATTTTCACTGTTGGTAATAATACAGTTTTAAAAATACGATTTTCGATTCGAGTCCAAAATCCCATCGATAGTTACTTAGTGGGTGAAATAAATCGATAGAAACTTATCCAAAACTACTCTAATGGTGGATTTTTTGTGTCAACGTGTTGTGCTTTACTTCGTAATCCACGCCATGATTCTTTCTCATTTGTAAGGTACGAGGTTATGAAATCTTACATTCATAGCAACTCTAAAGCACGTTCCAAATTTAAATCCAAATTTATTTTTGCGGAGATAAAAAGTACGAAATAAATAACGGTTTTAAACATTCAAGTATAAAATGAGGTGGATGGCCCGTTATTTTACACCACCAATTTTACTTGGTTTATCTTTAACAAGCGTTAGTATCGCTTTACTATATGTATTGTACAGAAAGGTAAGTTTAAAAATGATTACAAGATTATGCATTGTTTAATTTGTACTTTATTTTAATCGCTTCTTTGATTACATAGGACGAAGAAGATACTAAATCCAGAAAAAGTCAAGTTGAGATTTCAAAACGATATACAATAGAATGTAGTGTACCCAGACAATTTGTACCTGCTGTTATTGGAAGGGGTGGTTCAATGATAAAAGATATACAAAATAAAACAGGAACTCTGGTTCATTTTAAAGAGGATAATATTGAATGTCCCGAACGTATTTGCGTCATAAAAGGAAGCTATGAATCTGTATATCTAGCTGAAAATATGATAAAGTCCATAATTCATAATCAGCCTATAATTGAATCATATGTATTGTCTGTTCCTCAAAAAGCATGTGGGAGAATAATAGGAAGAGGTGGTGATGTTATACATCATATTCAAACAGTCTCTGGTGCGAAAGTCATTATTGAAAGTGCCTTTGTTGCTTCTGAGCCACGTATGTCTACTTTGTATAAATTTATATTGTCATGCTTTGTCTTTGGGTTTGTCTCAAATTTTGACAATTACTAATATTTTACAGTTGTTGAAAGAAAAATTACTATAAAAGGAACATCTAAACAAATTAATACAGCTTTAGAATTAATTCAAGAGAAAATTTATGAAGAAGAAGAGGAACGTACAAAGTTACAGGCTTCTTCTGCTGCAAGACTGCCTAGAGGAAAATTATCTCCTCGTAACACCATTAACTCATCTGAACAGGGTCAAAATACTGAATCTTTAACATTACCAGGTACATGAAATATAAATAATATTCTCACTTGTGATATTATGAACGTTTTATATATTTTATACTTTTGTTTCTAGTATCTGATGGTTTCATAGAAGTATATGTATCCGCAGTGGAAACTCCCAGTCAGTTTTGGGTTCAAATTGTCGGTCCTGGAATTACTGCACTAGATAAATTAGTGTCTGACATGAATACTTACTACAGTAATAAAGAAAATTATGAAATGCATAAGTTGAAAAGTGTAAATATATGATTCAATAATTTAATATCCATTAGTATGAAGAAATATTCGAAAGATTTCTTCACATTACTATTCTATCTTTTCAGATAAAAGTTGGCCAATTGGTAGCAGCAAAATTCGGTTTTAATAAGCAATGGTACAGAGCTGAAGTTATTTCCCTACCTTCAAATGATCAATGTGAAGTCTTCTACTTGGATTATGGAGATCATGAAATAATCCACCACAATTGCGTATTGGAACTTCGAACCGATTTTCTCAGCTTAAGATTGCAAGCGATCGAGTGTTCACTTGCCAATGTTAAACCACCGTAAGTAAATTTCTAATTAAATTAATTTAGTTAAATATAAAATTATACTAAAATTTATAAAAACGTTCTTTATTAAAGTTATTCGTTGGCATTATACATTTTCAACAGTATTTTATAAGTAGTCAAACTTTCTATAGAATTTATATCATATCTTGATTCATCCTTTTGAAAACTATAAAACCACTGACTAAAATTTATAATACTTCACAATTAATTACTAAATTGCTTATACATGAAGAAAGGAAGACGTCAATTGCTTAATTCGCTATCATCTATGTTACTTGATCTTGAACTGCTAATACCAGCTTCACAAACTTCATTGAATAATTCTGGGTTTGTTTGTTCCATCATTTTCCATGCCAAGCTTTTGTTGAGCATCGTTATATTTTTCTCGCAATATGCCAAACTCGCTCTTTTAAGCGCATCACAACCAAACTCGTCTGCAACCAAAAGTCTGCTAGCTACATTTTCTGGAGTTATCGTTTCGATAAGATTTCTTTCGCAGAGTTCTTTTAACCCTAAAAAAGACAATTACCAACAGCTTTATTAATTGAAATCAGATTTCTAATAAAAATTCCTCGGTACTGGAGCATGTAATACCTTGTAGGCAAAAGCGTTCAGCCAAAGATAAAAGTTCCTGAGCAAAAATATCCAAATTATCAACGTGATCGCTATAAATGTATCGCAACAATTCTTCTGTCACTTCTTTGCTAAGATCCAGCAAATTCAGAGCATACACGTAACGATTCTAAAATATTTTTATATAAAATATTATTAAAGAATTAGAGTATTTAATAACGAAGGACGCTGAGTACTCACCCATGAAAGTAAACTCAATTAAAAAATATTTCTACTATATGATTATGACACGCAAAACATTATACATGTATTTTTATAATTAATTGTAGTATGTTAGTTAGCAGAAAACAATAAAAAAAGATCAAAATAATAATTTATTAATTACATTAAATACATTAAACTTCTACAAAATTATATTAATTTTATGCAAACACATAATAAAAGAAATTTCATTTTAGATGTCAAATTTTTGCAATAAGGTGAATATTAATGTTCTAATGTTAACGTTAAGGCTTTAATAAATACGATATCAGAATATGGATTTGTTATATCGTTTATGGACTTCAGAATAAATTAATTCGAACACTCTGTAACATTGGCACAGAATAACTTCTGACACGTACATTGGAACTTTCGTTTTCTTTATCGATTATATCTTCTTCTAATTCTCTCATGTCCGATATCTTATCCTCTGCGGTATCCGACTTCGAGCTTTTCCTGTTATTCAATTCTCTTATGGGCGAAATCATTTCAGCGAGAACGTTGCTACGAGCAGCCAATATGTTGCTGTGAACTGGAATTTCCATTTTATTCAAACCCCCGCAAATCAACTTAGTGTCTGCGCCATACGAATGCTTTAATAGTCTGGCCATATCCTGGAACATATTAATTCATTACCTAATTTATATAATTGCCATTTTATTCCTGATATTTTTTCTGATTAATTCTATATTATCCAGTTGTATTAAATTACTGGAATGTTTCAATATTTAAATTATCCATTTATATTAAAAAAAATATCATTTACTTTATTTGAAAGGATTTATTCCCTTTTCAATCTCGCTTTGTATTAACGTAACTTGAAAAATAATTCTTTTTTCGTGAAAGATAAAATCCTCCGTAGAATGAGTTTCAAACTCTGTTTAAATGGGTTTCTATTATATGTACTGATCGTGAGAGTACTTGCCTGCGACAAGTGGTGTTTCTCGCTTTCGTAATGAATTATCTGTATCTTAACCATTAACATCACCTCGCCGTTCTTCTTTAAATGCCTGTCGGCGATAGACAAGTCCCTGTATCCCAAGGAAATGATGTCCGTGTATGATTTCAGCTCAAGTATTGTCCTGCTAACGTGACAGTACTCCCAGTGTTTAACGTCAGCATTGAAAACTGCAAATTGAAATCGTATCTTCGCTTGTTCCGCTTCATCTACGGTGCAGTTCAACATGTTCAGGCACAATACCATTGGGTTTATCATTCGTTTGCCTGTTATCAAACAATGGATCATCCATTTCTTGTAATAAAATCGATATCAATGATTGTTTCGAATGGAAAAAAGAAACGAAAGAAAGTGGGAATAGAAGATGAACTGAATTCTGAGAAATGCCGCGATGAAGTTGAAAAGCGGTCTGCATTTCTCTCTCTCTCTCTCTTTTCGAATCAAATATAACAAGTTCCATTACAAAGAAAATAAAAATTGTTAAAATAAGAATTTGAAAGAATATAATCTTGCTTTAGCAAAGATACAATGTATCTCAAGTTAGGGTAGAAAAGCTTCTCTAGTTAAGTCACATCGTGTCTCAAGTTAAATCATTCCAAGCCTTAATTTGGTTTATCCATAAAATAATATTTCAAATGTGAGTGTAATGTTATACTGTGGAAAAGATGATTCAGATTAGTAATGATCGAAACGATAGACTTATAGTTGGGATAACGTTCTTCTTACCATCGGGATTCTTCCAGAATCTGATGGACAAATTCCACGTGCTGCGAATATCGTTCACATTGATGTCGAACGACGGGCTATCGATAAGCTTTTTCTTTAAAATAATTTTTTTGTAATTTGGAACGGGCCACGTGTACTTAAACACGACGTCCGAGACAGCTGGCACCAGCAACTCCATATTATCGTATTTTTATGTAAACGAAGGAGCCTAGGGTAATCAAGTGGCGATTAATCATTCACATATACGTAAAAAGGCTTCACTTATCTGAATTTATCAGAAGGAAACAACCTATGTAGCTGGATTATTTATATCGTTCGTTTCACCTGCTACCTATAACCTTTTGCTTAAACAATGGGATATATTCAGATAAGCGAATTTAATTAAAGTTCAGTTAATCGAGCAATATATGGATTTCTATTGTACACTGAACGAAGAAGCTATTATTAGGATATATATAGTAAAAAATATCCAATGGAAGAGGAATATCGAATAACGAAATGCGAGTCTTGTATCTTTTAATTTTGTAAGACGTTTGAGAAGTCTCTGAAAAAGCTTTTGAAAGAAAATTCGTATTTTTTATCGTATCTCGCACTAGTCTCAGCTATATTGTTTTCTCTCGCATCTGTTTGTTTATTTATGTTGTTGCAAGTAATTTTGCTAATTATTTACAAAGCGAACGAGCTGGCTGATTTTGATAACCTTGAAGCGTGTTGTCAAGGTTGGAATTCTAAACAATCTTTTCCTATAGACGTGACTGCCGTACATGGCTTTAGTTTTCGAATTACAAAGCAATTTACGTGTTTAATAGTACATGCGGATATTTAACAATTTATTTTACAGACTTTCGTTATGTAAACAATCCTACAACCATGGCGAATATATTCGTTGCTTTTTCGAGCAATCGAAGACCAGAATAAAGCGCGATGTTTCATGTATCGATCGATTCATCGAAAATTATTTGACGCTACATCGCGTATATTGTTCCAGCCTAATCTATAACCCATCGATTTTTCTTTTCTATTTACGCGATATTAAAAATTCTCTCTCTCTTTTTCTTTCTCTTTCTCGTCCATGAGTTAAGGTTAAGTTAGGTTGTATAGAAACGCGGCTACATATGAAAGAACACAGTGTAATCATGAGATCGTGAATGTTCACGCATCTATAGGAAATCTAAATGTGCAGAAACTCACAAAATACGCGTAGTACACGAAAAAATAGGTGAAATACCGAAGGTAAAGTAGATATAGTATACGGTAGCAATTCTCTATCTAGAATTCTATTTCCTCAATTACATTTATAGAAATACGAAATCGCATAAGTATCCGCGGTCCACTAATCATAACCTAAATTTAATTGCAGTTTTTTGCGAACGCTTCCGAAGTAAGGACGAACTATGATCACGTGTATAGAGAGAAATTGTTGAGAATGTTGATCTTGATAATACGTTTCAAGGTCATTGAGAACGGTCAAGCCTTTCGTTCCGTAAATAATTAATTACCGTAATCTCGTGGCGCACAGCCACAATAAAGCTTCGCGCAAAAGTGCGCAAAACACTTTACCGATTGTTGGTCCCGTATAGCGGAAAGCTTTACGATGGAAATCGCAAGATCAACGTGAAACGCACGTGTGCATAACTTTGGCGGGCCGCCAATTTTCGATCTTAATTTATCTTTCATTTAAAGAGTTGCTTGGCGGTTACTCGCTCGTCGTTTACTCTTTTGTTTGGACGTTTTATCGAAATCCGCGTTTTATTCCAGATGGAAACACGTGTTCAGAGAACGATCGAACGCGAAAAAACAAACGGATCGTATTTTAACGCATCCTCGTCGAACGAAATTCGATGCAACTTACAACGACTAGTAACCTGAGCGCAATGTTGCCTCGATACGTTATAAAGTGGAAGAATAAGATTATCAATCGCATTCACACTAAAGATCGTATTCAGCGAAACGAGTAATTTTATAGCTATCTCGCCTGTAAGTGTCTACCCGATGCAACAAAACATTGTTACGTAACAAATGTTTTTGTAACTCTGTTGTCTACGAGATATATTTTCATAATTTCTTATGGCAAGTCGTGGCAAGTAAAAATATTTGCGTATCGTTGTTCACAGGCAAACGTAAGAAATAAAAGAGCAAAACGTAAGAAGACAAGTGAAAGAACCCTTGCAATTTTGGAATTCTTATATTTATATTATTCTGTTATTAGAAAAGCTTTCGTTCAACTTAGCTGCATTACATTGGAATATCAGTGGCAACGAGGGCCGAGAGTTTAATCAATCTTCTAGAACGGAGTTTCGTCCGTAACTAGCCTAAATAAATCGAAGATGGTTAACTGCTCTGTACCGTTTAACGTTAAAGTGACTAAAGGAGAAATTTAATAGCAGTTATCGGGACGGCAATCGTACAAATGGAATCAATGAAGATTCAAGCCGATGCAATTTCAATTGCTACGGCAATCGACTGAATATCAATTGTAAAACTTCGTATTTGCTCGTGCTCTTTTTGTACCGATGTTACCGCAACTTTAATCGAGAACGAGCAGAGAACTATCAACGCAACCGTTTCGATTTGTTTCAACTACTGAGTAAAGTCGCGAAATAACGATTAAATATTTTTAATCGAATGGAAAAGGACAGAGGCGAAAATGATGGAACCGCAATTTTCTTGAGTTTTCAAACGACAGATAGAACATTTTAAGATAGCTGTTGCAACTTCTTTGAAAGCTTTGAGAAGCTTCTACACAAAAGCAAGCGATGACGAGTATACTCGCCAAGCACAGAGTATGTGTAGCTGTTACGATATAGAATGAAGCTGCAACTGTTTTATTTTTGAACTTTATTACTGACAGGGCTCATTTGTAACACAAAATACTGCCATTTCTTCGTGACGAGTATACTCGTGAAAAGACAGCTGGTTAATTAAAGAGATCAGTACTTGAAACTAAAAGATCGTTTAGAACGAAAGATAATATAAAAGTTGACGAAATAACGAGAGAAAGATGAAGATGTTTCTCATTAAAACAAAGATGTCGAGATTCGAAAGATTTTGAGGAATCGAACCTGATAGGAGAACGACGAGGCGAGTAGAACGGAAATAGAAAGCGTTAAAGCGTTTCAGAGTGGTCTGCGGCTTTCTGGCAACCAGGTACTCGTCGGCCGGATTTGCCCTCGAAAGCCGTCGTGTCGCGTGTAACCGAAGACTGTCGGCACCGCGGTAATTCCAACTCGAAAACCATCGTGTGTGCATTACTTCGAGGTTGTGCCGGTGATTAGCTGTTTCTCGGCACGCGATACGAGCCCCGGTATTCGGTCAGATTGATTAAATTCACATTCGATTGCTACCCCGCAGCGGAATCTATTCCCATTCTGATCGTTCGGGGCATTGCGAAGATGCTCCGATTTTTCCTTCCGTTTCACGTGCACACGGCTGTTGTCCACTTACGAGTGCACTACGAATATCTATGAAAATTCATATTTTTACGAATACAAACGAAAGGAAAAAAAAAAGAAGGAGAATCTAGATAGAGAATTGTTCTGTCTGCAATTGGGTAAGGTGCCCAAATTTCGTCCTCCGATAGCTTATTTACCATTTATCCAGAACTAAATTAATTTTTGTAATCTGACAAAAATCTGCACAATTACGTGGAAATATTAGTAACGAAGATCTGTAGTTTCATAAAAGTTCGTACAAGCAAAGTAAAAAATGTATAATATGTGTAAAGGCATGCGTTTTTCAGTTCGTCAGACGCTCAAGATACGTCTCACTATAAAACGATATGTACAATATATGAGACAAATCACGGATCTATACAAAATTAAACGCGCACAGCTCATAGAGCGCGCGGTGCATCTAACCCGTTTTTCGCGTCGCTCGAAAATTGATCGTCGCGTATGAAACAAACCGCACATCTTCATCTTCCTCGCTTTCACTCGACGACACTGTCGCGAATTTCGTTCCGAAAAACACGTTCCTAATCTCGCCTGTATCGACCAAATCTAATCCCTGTAGGGGACCAAAATTAAGCGCAAAGCCGCTTTTTAATAGAAACGACAGGTTCTAATCGATAAGCGACAAGAGGAGATCGCCACTTCGGAATATGAAAATAGAAGCAATATACTACACGTCGCTAAAAATAAACAGTTGAATTATACACGTGTCTGCTTTAGATGTTGAATTATGACTTCAAATATCAAGAAACATTGTAGTGCGCTATTGACGAAGAGACAGGACGTCACAGAACATTCTATATACGGCGAATTTCTTCGTTTTTAAATTCCAATTTAAATTGTAGCACTCGATAACGAAATCCGGGCCCTTTACTATTACGACAAGTACTATATTTTGAATAGCTTACGTATTTCTGTCCATTTCGTTCGTTTCTGCACATCTTCCAATGGATGCATAAACCCCCCGAGATTTATTTACGAGGATTACTTTGAATATATCGTTGCAGTTGAATTTATTGTATTTTTAGAATATATTATCTTCTGTAGTTTTATCGATTTTATTAATTTTAGAGCTTTGAGAGGAACGATCGAATTGCGTCAATGTGTAACCGCTATAATTCTCTAAAATTACCGGCTTGAAAGGAGTTCCGCGAACTTTCGTCATACCTCGAACGCGTCCAGAAAAATTCTCAGCAATGAGAGACGCGATGAGACCACCTGGTAATTTAAGACTGAATTAACAAATGGGGTAATCGCGTTAAACGATGTTTAATTGAAGACAACAACGACTTGGCAGATTATATTTGCGTTACAAACGAGCAGGTCGCTTAAAAAGATTAATTACCTGTCTTAGCTTATATTTCTAAACGATAAACTCGTGATCTCTGGTTGCTATACATTCGCACGAAGCAAATGTACAAACATGCTTCTTATAGTAATAAGATAATATTAAGTAAAGTAATAAGACGCGTTTTCTTATATTTTATAATAGATTTTTCGCGATCATCGCTAGACTGCCGATATTTATGAGGATTAGTACAATTTTATGAATATTCTAAATATTGTTTATACTTTATACTGTCAATATCTTACGTATTTCTGTATTATCTGCGTTCTGTGCACTTAGGCACATTTAAATTTTCTACCATCTGATTATCATTTAATATAAATAATAATAATTTCGTCGATCGAAAAGGATATTTCCGGACGTTCGTTTCGTAAGATCGGCTTTAAATTGCGCTCGAGAGAAGGAAATCGAAGCATCTGACAATCGATGGAAAGTCGAGGGAGTAGCATTTTCTCGTCCAACGTTCAAACCTTGTACCACTTGACACTGTTGCACGCGCTTGAAAAGCCCACGATCGCACACGAGAGCAAAATAAATGCGTACTTACGTAAATATAACGCACGCTTCTATTATCACGTTCATTAATGCACAGAGCGTAAAGTGCATGGAGCTAGCAAGAGCGTTTCGTGCCAGAGCGTAATCGCGAGTTCACTTTTCCACTTTCCACTCGACGTTTCGTACGCGTTCACTTTGTTCTTATATTACTTTGAATATTTATTTATCCGGTGGATGAAATCAGTAAAAAAAGAGAGGCACAGATCGTTTCAAAGTTCACCAATATTTTCCAATCTTTGGATCTTTCTCTCTTCCTCTATCTACCAACTGTTCAAATTTTTAAAACGAGGAGAAGATCGAACAAATTTCCTAACTTTTTCGATCGCCACTGTCGTAGCATCGCGTTCAATCACCGGTCGTTCTGGCTGCAGGCAAATAAAAATGATCGGTTTGCTTGCACACTTCCCTCCTCTTCTTTCTTTCTTTTTTCTCTCTCTCTCTCTTTTTCTTTTTACTTTGCGCGAGGATATCGTTCTGCACGATGATCGTGAAACGACTGAGAGATCCTCTGACCATTGCCGAGGGTCTACGTTCGTCGTCCACTTCATCTTCTCGCACGTGTACAGCGTACACTTGTATCGTACCGTTTATAAATGGAACAAGACGTCCTGAAAGTGCTTCAGCCTCGTTAAATGGGGTTGTTCCACGCACACCTTCTTTGTTTCGTGCGATGATAGCTCTATCAACCCTCGAATTCCAACTGAATTCTGCCTATGAAACAGGGTTAATGGTAATTGCATAAAGAATCGCTGTTACGTAAAAGTTGCGGGCAATTGGGGCGAGAACAAAACCAGGGTATACCGTACGTTGCAAGGGAAAATATAACGAGAGAGCGTATGATTGATCGTTCATTTTCATCCTTTAATTATTTCGTGATTTAAACGTTGCCGAGAAACGAAAAAGAGGAAACAGGTGTTCGTCTTGATGGGCGGAACGATGGTTTTTGCGATCGGGGAAAAAATTAAACAGCAAAGATCGATGGTGTTAAAATTGCACGCGGAAGAATGATTTTTTCCAGGTATATTTAGCATACGAACGGTGCACGGTTAAAATGTTAATTCTAAGGAATTTTCAGCGTTCCTTAGCACCGGCTACGAAATCCAGCTGTACAACGAAAAAGTGGTGTTCGTTTGTTAGAGTTTCATATATTGCTCAAAGTTATCGGGTAAAAATAGAAAATGACGCAGAATAAAATGAAGGATAAAGCGAGGTTTTATCTCCATACACGAGGAAATACGAAGATGTTACACGGTGAAAATAGATTTTCGTTTTTTGAGAACTTGACGTTCCCCTTTTTTGGCCCTCCTCGACCATTGATACTCGTAGGCCGATAAAATCAACAGAAACGAATACAGCATGCACATTTGATTATCCACAGGTCAGGAGATTTCATTGAAACGTTTGGAGATCCGGAGATCCCAGTTCGACGATTTCTACGTTATAAATCGTGAAACCGCGAATTTAGCTTGAAGATAGCAAGGCGCTGACTTTTATATTTAGGAAGCTGTGAATAGCTTTGTTTAAATTACACGTCCACTGAAATTGTAATTTTGATCAATGGAACGTGATTCGAAGGCTCGCTATCGACGCAGCGTGTACACACGCTACATAAATCAGTATTTTCAACATTGTCAGCGACACGCATTCTAACATAAATATTTACATGCTGTTTGTACTCGCTCTGGCTGCTCCGTGTAATCACGCTAACCGGCAGAAAATTAGCGCAACCAAAATTACCGAATCTTCCTGTTGTACGAACAGTATGAAGCTACTATTACAACTAACAGTATGAAAAGAATGGCAAAGGATAGAAAATTGCCTAAAAAGTCCTACATCTCTTGTGAAAAATTATTTTAACGAGGCAGAAACATTAAACGTTTGAAAACGAACGAGCATGCTGCTGGCATACGATTCTCTCTTTGCTGGCAATTTATCAACATATTTGTTACGTTACGCTTCGTGTAACGTCGCATTTATCGGACCCGCAATCGCCAATACTTTGTTAGAAAATTAAGGATCGAGCAATGAGAATATTTCATTTTCACTGCAATTTAATTTGGAAGTTACACGCTCGCGAGTATCTATGTTATAAACGAAGAGGAAATTGTAATCAATTGTAGTTAATTCTTTTTTTTTTTTTTTACTGGCAACTAAACAAAATTTCTCCCTGTTACACGGGTCATGATACATATTTTGTTAATAATCATTTACTTTTACTATTTGAATATAATATTTATAAGATATCCTTGAAATATTTGACGTTTCTTTTCGTGTGATGCAGGGGAGCTGAATGGTCCAATGACGAGTGTGACTTTTTCGCGGAGATCACGTTTTTAGCCGAGTGGAAAGTTCTTTATGCCAAAGTTAAAGGTTTCAAAGAGAGAACCTTCGGCTATGGAAGATCTCGTCGCGAAGGTTCACCGATTCCTTCCGTCGAGCTTTACAATAAACACGAGAACGAGGTACTTTAACGAGGATCTGTTCGATGAAACATTTACAAAATTATCTGAATATGTACAGTATAGTAGTGTCCAATACGTACGAACGTTTCGTTCATATTTTTTCACAAGGAATCACCTTGTACCCGCTTGTACGTGTTATTCGGTCGCACCCTGTATATATTATTACTAAAAATCGTACTATTTCGTATTGTATATTTCTATAGTAATTTTCGTCGCTGTTATTTATTGCCATGGAATTGTACATTTTTTAACATGCGCAGGAAATTAACATCGGCTGCGAGATGATAAAGGAAGGTTACGCCGAGCTAGAAGAAACCGCACCATCGACCGCTTCCTCGACGTTGTCGCTATTCTCACGCCACTACGACATCGGGGGTGTTTCGACTCCTCCGCTGACGAAGCGAGCTTTCAGTCCTGAAACGTCGGCAAACAATTCACGTAATTTGGATTCGGCCATCGACTCGCCAAGTACATCGACCATGGATGGGATGCCTACCGATGTATCTGACGTATTGTCATCTGAAGTTAAAGAAGTTCACCTATTTACGCCGCATGTAAATATATTGGAATTTGACTTTGGACTTGTCGTAAATTGGGCTCTAATTTTAATCTACGTTCAAAACGTTACGTTAATTCGAAACTAAAGAAGGTTTAATATCGCTTTGAGATGGTTGTTGGCGACGGTGCCCGCAAGAAATACTCTTGACGTTCAAGAAAAATGTTTTTTAAACTATCAACAATCGACTGTAATCGTGTTTGTTTCGTTGTGACGCTTGACCTTTCGCACTTCGCAGCTCTGGGTAGAATGAATGTTTTGGAGAGAAGTTCGAAACCAAGCGGATTTTTTTCTTTGCTGCCCCTCGATATGTACGCGTTTATTGGATGTCTGCGACGGTTATATATTCGGCGAAGAAACCGTAGGGATATCGATGGTACATTAGGCATGTCGATCTTACGCTTTGAAGGTATAGCGCTTTGTGTCGCGAAGACGTTGAAAAGTTCCGTGGTCGAGTGCCACCACAGCTTCTTACGCGAAGCTCGAGATAAGGAAATTCAAAGGCGAGAGAAGCTACGTAATTCACCGTTAACGAAATTATCGATTCCTATTTATCCAAATACTTTATCTCTGATCCCTTACAGTTCTCTTTGCATACCGATAAATTTAGTAAACTCGTTCACGCTCCGAGGTCTCTTATAAATACACGAACACGTGCACGGTGTACCGATCGAAAGCAGAAAATTGTAAGAAACGTAGAAAAGATTTTCGTAACGAAATCTACGACGCCGGAAGTCGTCGAGATCGAGATCGAGCGTAGAAAGCGCGCGGACGCCGATCTTTTTCTCTTCTCTTGCGGCGCGTAGCTGGCAAAACACGCTCGGCTGCGGTTAACCATTCAATCGTCGAATACATCGCGATCATTAACCGCGTCTGTATCGATTTCTTTCAGAAACCACACGATTGGACCGAGGAAGTGGATCTGATGGCATCGAAGAAGGAGATGAATCGCTTCATCGGAAACGAGAAGAAAGTTCAAGAGGACGACGACTGTAGTGTTCGCCCTCCAAACGGCACCTACATCCCGTTGGAGTCTACCCAAAAACGGGAACGTCCATGGCAAGTCTCGAAATTCTCGCGAGTCGCTCCGGCTGGTTTCGAGAGTGATATGTCGGACGACTCGGACGTGATGGAGCTGGGGTAAATCGAAAGAACCAGCCGTACATTTCTTCCTTTTTTCTATCGAGATATGCTTCCGTTTATTTCATGTGTTGTAGAAGTCTTGTAGATGTTAGAAATGCGGCGGTTTGAACAATCGCAACGAATCCTCGATAGAAAAAAGAAAATAAGAATAGAGTAGAATACGTAGCAGTGATTTAAACTTTACCCGTGCCCGTGCGCTTTCTTTCTTTTTCAAATTTCATTCTCTTGGCAATGCCTTTCATATGCTATGAATTTCGGCAAGATATGCTTTTTATCTTGTTGCGATATATTTTTCTAATACCTCGGCGATTTTAATAGAGAATATCATTGAAGTGAGTTATCAAGTAGAATATAAAACGGTGTTTTATATGTATGTATTCAGTGCGATTGAATCGAGTCGAAAACGAAACCTGGAAAACGCTTTTAAAGTAGTTAGAGCGCCGGGCTTTTCTCAAAATGTAATTATAGATTTTGTTGTTAGCCTTAACTTTTCCTTTTCCTTCTTTTTCTAATTTCTTTTTTATTCCCTAATTTTTCTAGTTTCAAAAATTTGTAAATTTACTTGTTCAGTTATTTACTCACTTGTTCATTTACTTGTTTATTTATATACTTGCTTGTCTGCTTACTTACTTTAAAGTATCTTTTCCGCCAAGCTGATCATTTGTAAATGATTGAAAGTACAAAGGGTCGTTTATTAGGTTATTTAATTTGCAAATGATTCTCTCTCTCTATTTTAATGGAAGCATTTTAAATTTATTTTATTTGTCACGCGTGACATTTGTGACTGGATAATTTTTTCTATATTTTATGTTGCTAGACGCTGTTACGCGTTAATTAGTATCATGTAATCAAAAGTAGAATTTCTATACTTCCATATATTTTAGAGAGGAAGGTACACGATAGAAGAAGAATCGTAAGGGCCTGAAAACGATAGAAATTAGACACATTTTAGAGATAATTGTTACTCTCATCGCAAGATAAACTTGAAGAAAACTGTTCCTTACTCTTCTTCCGAGTAGTCAGTTGTGCTTGGCCGTTCTCTTCAGATTGTGCATTGTTTCCTTCGGGATACGTACGCTGTTTGAAGTATGCTCAAGATTAACAAACCGCGTGCCTTAAACTTCTGCTTCATACTTAATTACCACCATTGAAATATGAACATAGCATGCAACATATAGTTGCAACAGTTGCAAGTATTAGGTGTATAAAGATCGAAGAAAACTACATAGGTCGTTCTATTTTTGTAATATGACTAACTAATTAATTAAGTTCGTTTTTGTAGATTGGTGGGAAATAAATGGATTAATGCGTAAGCCGAAACGATCGTCGGTATTAGGATTTTTGTTTCTTCTTATCCGATATGTCTTTTTTATTTCGATGTCCTAGTTATCACAAGATCTGTAGAATCTTTGAAACTACATTAAGATGATAGTGCCATATTATTCATCGTAGCTTCCCATTCTCCTAAGCGCGGTACATCATGAAGTAACGCGATGCTCTTCCAGCGCAAAGGTAAATCCACGATTGTATACAAATACGCAATTATAGTCTACGCGATTTATTACCCACCAAAATGATAGTGATTCATAACGATACGATCCGTTACCTATTGAAGTAAATGACCGATTCCATTGTACCTATTATATTAAGCCCATCGTTACATCCTAGATTTACCTGTTTCTTCCCCAAAGACTTATTTAAGAAAACCCCGAGAAAAAGAACGAAGAAAAAAAAAAAGAAAGAACCGATTCGTTGTCTCGAACCCTTCCGGTAGACACGTACTGCGATTCAACGATGTCAGTAAATCTGAAAACTCCACGAAAGTTGCCCGATTTTTGCTCGATGATCGAGCATAAATCACGAAACAACGTCAGCTTACGAAATTGATCGAAATATTTGAAATTGTACTCAAGTAAGCAAACAACAAAATATCATTGGACAAATAAAATCTTCGCTCTCTAAAAATTATCTCGTTCGTTCCTTAGCCCTTTAACGGAACCCCCGAACCTTTCTCGCCTCCCTCAGCCGTCTAATCGCGGAACGACGTCGGAATTTATGGAAATTAAGTTTGAGATTGTAGACGAGTAGACAAGGAATGAAACGATCGTTCTACGAATTCTGTTCAATCGTTCGGTGTCCTTTAACGGAACCCTAAATCGTCGTTTCCTTTCACTTTATCCATCTCGTCGCTGCTTTCTCGGATTACGGCGTCGTGATGCAAGACCGGCGAGTTTCCGGAGCTTCTTGTCTGCGGATAAAAGTGGGAACCGAGCGGACGACCGCGAAAAAGAGGAGACAAAGTCCTCGGCGAGCAGCAACGCCGGCACCAGCAACAGAAGGAGAAAAAGGAAGAGGAAAGGACGATATCGGAAGTTGCTGCAGTGGAACAGTGAGTAGAGAACTTACTCATCCGACACAGACTATCAAACCGCGTCTACTTTTACGGAGTTTGAGTACAGTTGTTCGGCTAGAAATCCGATTCGCTCAGAGATTCCAACGATTTTTACGATCGATAGCCGCGAACGAGCTCGTTTTTAGACGATGACGGAGCTTAAATCAGCGGATAAACCTCGAGCTCGATTTTACAAACTATTGTCGCTCCGATAGTTTGCTAATTTCTAAATCAATTTATCTCGTCGTTTTATTTTACTGGAACTCTGTGAAATCTTAAATTTTATTTGCGTCATAGAGACTCAACGTCGAGGAGCTAAACGCCGAGACGATTTATCAAGCAAATGAAAGTTAATTTTGCCGATCGTTCCCATCCAAGTGTAACCTTGTGAAATATCTCAAGCTCGAACAAAAGACGACAAAATTCCGATCTACGATTTTTAATTTTAGGTATCTTAAAACTCCCCTACGAATCTCTTTCGTTTGCCAAAAAGAGACGAAACGTAGAAATTCGTAATTACGCGGCGTTACTTCGATAAATCGATCATGCCCCGCGACTGGTTTCTCTAGGGATCGAAAGAGCAATCGATACGTCGATGTTACGATCTATCGTTCAACCGTTCCGATGTAATCGTTCGTCGTGGCTAATTACTGCTTGAACGCCGTAAGCGATACCGAATAATGCTAGCCTGCGGTTCCAGCGAAACGATTAAACTCGTTGAATTTGATTTCTAATGGAACTCGATTCACGACTTCCTAAACGAACGGCGAAAGGAAGAAAAATGGCGAAGAGGTTAAAAATAGTCGGCAGTCAATTTTCGCGTTACGTTGGTCGGGAACGCGATAGTTGGGCTGGAGTACGGTAAATAACTGGTAAAGAAGTGCCGCGAGTAATTGCTGTCGCCTGGAAGCCGGTCGGTGGTCGGTGATCGGGAAAAACGAGAAAGCTGCGGCCGAGCGAAACTGTATAAAACGTGGCTAATCCGATCTTCCGTGATCAGTGCGACGAATATCGAAACCGGAGCCGCCACGACCAGTAAATCCAACGATGAATCATTTGGTAAATTTCTATTATCTCTTTCCGTTTCTATCGCTAATCGTTCAAAGTTAATCGTCTCTTGGCCTTTCGATGGATTGCTCTTCGATTTTTAAATCGCGTTATTTTCCAATTTCCAAGGAACTGTTTTCGGTCGCGGTATTCGAAATTCAACGCGTCGTTTCTTGATAATACGTCGCAAGATATTAGATCAGCTCGTAAATAATATATATCTGCGTACATTATCGCATGTAAGTATCAATAATCATTCGGTATATTAACGGGAGCGTAGAGTGTGAATTCCAGCGAATCAAACGTGATCAACGATAAATTATCGATTCGAAACTATCGAAATTATCGATATATGAAATCATCGCCATTCCGATGTAATAATTGTTTCTTATACGTTCGATCAATTTTTAAACCGTAAATTTCTAATTAGGTAAAACGTGTAACAAATTCCAATGAAAATATCTCCTCTACGACGAATAGAAATTATTTGTTTTCGCATCGTTGTTTCTCTAACTTCGTACGATGGTAGGACGCGTTATAGCAATGGTAAGACAGCGGCTCTAATTGGTCCCATTAGCTCAATTGCTAATCACCGGATGAAATTATTCGATGATACATCGATGATGTAGTGATCTTAAATTACAAATATACCAGCTAATTGATCAATTACGAGATAACTAATAACCGGTAGAACGTATTCGATCGATTATCGCGATCGGTGTTGGATATATCGCGCAAACTACTTGGAAACCGAACTCTTCGATCGATCGATCTGCGATTTTCTCGTATTTAGAGATATCGATCGTAATTCGTTGCTTTATGGCGCGTAATTCAACCTTTCAACACAGCGCGTTCCCCGTAGCAGCTTTTATTATCGTTTAAAACAATATAATTTACCGCGTTAATTACGATAATTCAAACTTATTATCTCTCGTTCGATATCGTCGCCAATCGGCTGACGTTTCCTGTAAATTTTCATTAGAATATACCGCGAATAAATAACGATAACGTTAATTGGAATCTTCCCGCCAAGTTTACCGAAGGATAGCTCTCGGTAATTGCATTTTCGTTACCTTGACTTCCTTTTACCTATTTCTCCAGGTTGGAGACGAAATCGTTACGCTTGAAAAAAGTGAAATTTGCGTCGTCCAATGCGAGAAGAAGAAACGAAATTGTCGAAGAGGATCGTTCCGAGCGCGCTACGCTCTCAACTTTTAACTCGATCGAGTAATAATTTCTGTTGCGAGCGTTACGAAAGAGAGAGAATCGTAGGATTCGAAGCATCGGACGTAGAAAAGAATTCTTTCCGATTTTTCCCTGCAATTTTCGATAGAATTCGCTTTTACATCGAACGCATTAAATATATTGCTGAACGTACGAAGGTCGATCGATCGTCTCTACCGTCCCTCGCGATGTTTGCTATCGTTCCAAAGACAAGGATTTAAAAGTTAAACGTTCTTAGATTGAAGGTATCCCCAGGAACGCTCGGTGCGAGATTATTTTAAGCTTTAAAGGACTGGCCGATATACTTTGCGAATCAACGTAGCGGCAAATACACGGCCAATAGCACATCGCTTGACGCGGTTTAATGAAAATTAGAGGCCACCGACCAACGCAAAACTAATAATTATAAATCGAAGACGTAGGCGTGGCTGGTGGAAATTCTATTAAAACGAAATTACTCGATTTCCATCTTTCAAACGTTGTTTCTACTTAATCGCGAGATATTAAAGTTCAAGCGAGATACGAAAAATGCGATCGTTTACGAGATTCGCTCGTAAGACTACGTGGACTAAAGAGAGATAACTCTGCTTCTAAACGGTGGATGGATGGATTTATGAGATTTCATCGACGATGCGTTTGGTGTTATAACGATCGATCGTACGAAAATACGTCGGTATGACGAAAATGAAAATTATCCAATTTTTCAATCGCCCATTACTTGTTACAACTTGCGAAGCTTGCACGTTAAGAAATAATCGCTGCGGTAGATTTCAAAAGGCAGAATCGTACACGCGCACCTAATTTCCCTGATCCATTTCTCTCTGCCGTTTAATCTTCTATTTTGTACGATCGCTATACGTACCTTCCGTTATCGATAATAACACCGCAGTTGGAAAATAGTTGGATATCTTAAAACACGCGCTCCCACGTTGGCGCATCGCGTGGCAAACCGAGAGAAACGCGTATACTGGCAAAAATTTCACGAAACTACGCGAATAAGAGTACAATGCGACGTCGTAACACGTGGCCAACACAAAATCAAGTATCAGTCTACATGCACGCAATCACTTCGTCGCTCACTCCTCTCGTTGCAACGGTTCCAACGCTGTCTCTTCGCGCGGACCATCCTTCTCGACGATGCTGACAACACTGACTTCTCGACTCACGACTGCCTGTTAATTCGTCTTTCTCCCTTAAGCATCCCTTTGTCTTTTCTCACAGCCCCACCACGTACGTGTTCCACAATCGTCCACAGCCATAGTCACGTAGGTCTTTTCGCTCGGCCTATTGAAGTTGCCAGACCCTTTTGGCCCGTCCACACTTAGACTTTCTCGCAAAATTGTTTACGATTCACGCGATATTTCTTAGGCAATCTGTTTACAGTACGAAAGGGAATATTAAGGTTTTTTTTTTTTTAATTTGGTACAACTTTTACAAACAATTCTCATCGAGAATTATAAGTAAATTATTTCGGCGTGGTACTGTAACTGGGATTGTAAGTGTTTATAGTATGTTCGATTCTAGTTGAATCTAACGCTTAAACGTAAAGGACAATGTCTGGATATCAAAGTTAATCGCTGGATCAAATTCCATTTAAAATATCGTACGATAAAATATGATCGACGCCTCGTTGAGAATTGTACGCTGCTTCAGCGGCGATCGACGAGGAAGCATCGAATAATCACGAACGTTATACGCCTCACCGCGCTCTTATCATGCGAGAAATCTTTGAGAAAACGATCGTTAGATTTTTCCTAAAGGGTAGCAGAATTTCTTGCCGCTTGGCGATCGTACTCGGCGCAGGTAGCCACGATGCAACGTACAAGCGCAGAAAGATCGTACGCTCGACGATCTCGACGAGAAGGGAATTTAATACGGATTTATTTATTTATTTATTCTAATTCCAATGCGTTTGTACCATTTTACTATTTCAGGGGGTAACGTTGCTTCTTTTGTGCGGTGTCTACGGTGCTTTGGCCGGTCGCCGTTACATCGCCATTCCCGTGGACGGGTTCGACGTGATCGAGCTGAGCCCGGTGCCCCCAGCCACAGCCAGGATCACCAGGCAGACAGAAGCTTACCTTCCAGTAGCAGTTCCTAGTGTCTCTCAGGAAGAGCCGATGAGTGTGCGCTCCGAGAGGTCCAACGCCCGCATCCTGGATTACGTGGATTTCGGTGGACAAACAGGCTCGAACGGAGCCTTCAGCTGGTACGCCGATTATCCAGCGCATCATTAATCACCTAGAGCCTGAACGATCGAGACGCGTTTCCACGGATCCTGCCTACGAGCGTTCCACGAGCGACGAATCTGTTACGTCGAAGACGAAGGAGAACATCGGAGAAGCAGATGACCCGGAGATGGTATCGATTGTTCTTTCGCGTTCTGATCGGATCAGCGGACGTTAGAATATCTCTTGGCGAAGATTGTCGTTGTAAGACTGGCGACCATCAAGTTGGTTAGCAGGTTGATCCTCTAACGAGACGTACTGTGCGAGAAACGCGCACGTAACATGAAAAATTGGTCGCCGCGACCTAAATCTGCCGCCAGAAGGCAAGCAAATATAACAAAGCAAGCGTGGTTCGTGATCCGATGTCAGGAACGCAGGAAATCTGGAGGATCGTTCATTTCGAATTAGGTCGTTTCGCTACGCCTTCGAAGGGTCAACGTTGTCGAACAGTTTCGAAGAAACACGGACGTTCAAAGCGCGAAGCGTGCGCTCCTTGATCGATGTATTTTGAAAATTAAATTACTCCTCGAGTTGGCTAAGTTAGCTTGTTAAGCAATTTGGTGCAGCGACCACGCGAAAACGTATGTACGCGGATCGATCGATACGTTTTGCAAGCTTTTTAAGCTACGCTCGTTTCGTCGATGTATAAAGTGAATTGTTTGCGAAACTCGCGAAACTGTCCTGTCTCTTCGATACGAACCTCCCGACCTTTTTTCCTTTTCCATTTGACGGATGTTAAAGAGTCGATTGCCGCGTAACGAGACCAATCGTTATTCGTATAATTTTTCCATAGCGAGTCGAAGCTGTTTGAATAAAATATGAAGCAGCTTGGTTAACCGAGATTCGACGATCTCTTCATCGAATATTCCTAAGAGACCCGTTCACGGACAATACTTGGAAACATCGCGTGCTCCGATGTGCGATAAGCTTCGAACTGTTTACGATCGCTGTTAAAATAAAAGCTTGCGGCTGAAACTCGTTCTTCTCGACGACGAAGTTCCATCTATCTTCACTCGTGAAATTTACCCGCGGTATTTATCCCGACGCGTGCTGTATAAATGTAAGAGGAAGGGCAAAAGTACACTCAATACATATGCATGGTGGCGAGCGAAAGCTTCTAGTCGGATAAAGTTTACCTGCGATCTTTCGTCGAGTTCGGTGATCTCTTAAAACCACGGTCGCCTTCGTCAACGTGCCATCCATTGCTCTTTAAACTTTCTCTCCTCTACAGCCGCTAATTACTTTCAGAGAATTAACGACGATAAAGGACGATAAAGGTCGTTCGTTGTCCTCGGTGTCCCTGTGAAGATCTACCTCGATCCTCCGGGGGAGAAATCACGAAAGAACGATATCCGACCAGAAATTCTCGTACACCACCGTGAAACATCGGACGATGTCCATTTAGAGTAATAATAGTTTTATTTTCCGGCATATGATCACACCCATCGTTACAATACGATAAATAGCGAGAGAACGACGGTGCGTGTCCTTTGTATCTCTTCTGTCATGTTAATATCTATAGTTTCTTCTCTCTCTCTCTCTCACTCTCACTCTCACTCTCACTCTCTCTCTCTCTCTCTCTTTTTTAGGTACAACGATAACAATCTCGTCGAGGCGAGCATCATTCCTATTCCCAGGCGGAATTCAATTTAACGAGCCGGCGAATTTCACGAATCACGATTCTTCTTAAGTACCTATATATCTATATATGTATGTATATATTATATCGCGGCCATCTGGCGTCTGCAAACGGCTAAGAAACGATAGGATCGATCGAATCCGCTCGTTATTATCCTCGTCACGCTCTTCCCTTCGCCATCTCGTTCGTATTCCCTCGTTCTTTTCACGCTCGTTGAAATTTCAATGGATCTAGCGAAGATCCAACACGCGACGTTAATCGGCTACGTTTCGCAAGGAATCAACGACTTTTCGTCGATCTGGCGATCGCGTCGCTCCTCTTCCTTTTATCCGCAGCGCGGAGCAAGTACATCTTGCGTTCTCGCCATTCGATTACAAGTTACGAACCATCGATAAATTAAGTTCCGTAGCTTCTAATTGCAATTGTAACATCGGGACGAACGAAATTTCGCAGCGGAATTACGCGTTAGGCGAAGAGGAACAGGCGAAAGTTTCTCTGAATAGGAAGAAGAAAAAGAAGAAGAAGGTCGATCGTTACTGTTCCTCTTGAAACACGTTTTGCGTTATAAATGTTCGCTGTAATTGTTCGTTGAGATCTTCCTTCTACGATAAACGTCAGAAAGGACTGTGTTCTACGAGGCGATATAATTCGCTTGGAGATGAATTGTTTTCGTAGGAAGAAGAGATAGGATGATCCTTGGCGCAACAGCGTGAAGAGGATAATAAATGCTTGATCGAATCCGAGCGCGTCATTTCCATCTCTATTCGCCGTCTCTATCCAACGTTACATCGAAATACTTAAAAAGCAAACGCAATTATCGTAATTAATAGCGATTAACGTTGCTCTCCGCAAATTCCGCTAGCTTCTCCTCCCTTTCGCTGCGTATATTTCCGTTCAGACCTTACCACTTAATCGATACAGTTGAATTTTGTGCGAACGCGGCAACATTTTTATTCGCTCGAGCAATTTATTAATTTAACGATCGTTTAACGCTCTCGACGATTCCGTATCATCAGATACCTCGCTGCAATCCGCCATCCCATCTACGAGAAAAGACGTCGCGTCGCCTTTTCCATTCGCGATCGTTTTATACTCAAGTTGGTACAGTTTCCTGTAATCCAAACACTATGGATCACCCTGAACGAGACGTTTTTCAATTATTTAACAAAATATACAGCGGATACGTATCGACGTCAACAGCGACTTTCCATGCTAAATTTTGGACAAAGAAGGTTTGCAAAGCTCGCTCTTGCTCCCTGATTGTTTTCTACGAAACAACAGCGACTCGACAACTGCTGACCTGGTGACGTAGCTACGTCAAGAAAGACAACACGAGGTTGAGCGGCGGTATCGATCAAAATTCGAAGCTTCGATGGCTAACCGACGAGCACGGAAGAAAATGTTCATCTCGATGGTCGTTCCATCGGGAAATTTTTTTTATGCGTCTTGTTCTATGCTGCGACTCCTGTCCAAACACGATTATGGCAGCGATCATCGAAGCGTTAATTACGTTTCCGCGTCGCGACGTTCTCTCGGCGTTCGATCGAACGATTTCGCGCGAAAAAATTATCCGCCTGGCGCGTAGGCTCGTCAGAGGCGTTACATAAACGTATCGCGGCTCGCAAAACGCTTCTGTTCGCCACGAAACGCCTCCTCATCCGTTTCGAACGCGTTTCCACTTATCGACGGCTCGCCGAGCGTAACGAAAACAACGCGTTTTCAAGCGCGTTGCAGAAAAGTACAAACACAAGTAGGAGGAAAACAACGTGTTCCGCGCCTTGCCGTTGTCACACGCTCAAGAAGGTCACCCGCTCAGAAACTGTAACAGGATAAGCTGGACATCCTGCACACCACAGCCATCGAAACAATAACCAAATACTAACGCAATAGGCGCCTCTGAGACACGTCACACGACGACTCCTCCAGAGGGACTAAAAGCTCGGTATAAAAACCCTGCAAAATAAGCGCTCGCCCCAGTCTCTTGTAACATTTTCGATCATTCTGTTGCCACACTTTGAACCGTCACTCTGTTGGATTCGCATGATAAATTCTATTATCGTATGCAAAGTTCGATTTCTTCGCCTTATTCGTGAAACGTTCGAACTGCGACGCGAGGAGATTGCCACGTGAACTTGAGACTTCGATCGTAAGAGAAAAGAAGGTTGAACCGTAACCCAACTATGAACTTTTTTCTATCGAAAAAAATACAATGATTAGAACGATTTCACAGAGGTAGAACGATACTGAATCACAGAAAGACCGAACAAGAACTGCTCGAGCTGGCTCGTGTCTCGGCTTATGTGCGTTTCGCTTTGGGGATGTTGAGGGGCTCGGTGTACCTTTTGACGTGCACAAGAGTTCAAAGGTCAGGGGTCGATGTTTTATCTGTGACGAGATTAAGGCGTGTCATAGGCTCGGTGATAGGGTGGCGACGTGCGCGAAAGAGTCGGAAGCTCGGGGGTCGATGTCTTATCTCTGCTGTAGATTGAGATGCGATCGTTGTCACAAGATCGTCGGTTTCGTGATTTCTCGTGTCTCCTACGTCACGCGACGCGTTTCAACGACCGGTCCATCCGCTTGAATTCGCCGAGAGGAAAGCGCAAGGGCGTGGTATCGAGAGATCGGCGAATTGATTTTCGTCGATGACCTCGAATCATCCCGGTCGCGTCAATGTCATAAACACGACGAGGGGTCGATAGGCTGTAGAAATTCGTCATCGTGGAGCGTGAGGCGTAACAAGATGATCGCGGAATCGAACGCCAAGCCACGTACAAGCGTGATCGTGTCCGAATTTGCCCGATTAAGGAGAATAAACGGCGTTTGCCTCGTGTTTCAAGCGGAGAAGCGAAAATCTGCGCGCTCGTCGTTTCTAACGTAAAGGGGATGAAGCGAAGTAGCTGGACAGCAGAAGAAACGCGTAGCTGCGAAAGTGCTAACGATATCGATCGCGAAAACACCCGACGACTGACGCTTACACGTACGTCGGTGATATTTGTTTTAAGTTGAAAGATATCGTCCAACGAAACCGAGAAGGACGAGAAGCTTCGACGTTGCAGGAAAAGTCTTTCTCCGGAATCTTATATTCCAAGGAAACAACTATTCGTACGATTTCTACGTATAATCGTGTTTCAGAAGATCAAATACTTTGGCCTTGCACAGGAAAGCGTCGTAGAACACCGAAATCTCGCGCACCAAGTAACCCACTGCGTAAAATTGTCTCTTGGGAAAACGAATCTGCCTTGGCTTTCCATAGGAAAGTAGCATTCGAAACATCGAAACTCTGTGTATTTTCCAGGAACGATCAATTCGCGAACGATCTTCAAGCTTAGCGTCCGAGAACAGAGTCTAACAAGCCGAAGTAGCTACCGATTCGATCCAGCAACATTTGGAATTAAAAATTGAAGAAATGCCACCTAAATAGACGTTTGTTACCGAATATCGCTAATTACCAGACACCGGGTCCTTTCGTAACTTTCCTCATTTTCGTTTTCTCTTTTTCTCTTTTCGTTTCTATGGAAAGTTTGACGCGAAACTACGACGAAGCGTTAACGAACCCGATCATCGGCGTAATCTATACGACAGCTGCGTCTTGAAATTTCCCACAGTCAGTTGTGTCATCGCCTGTATTCTCTACGACGAAAGAGAACAAAGCTACGAAAACGTTTATGTTCCTCGCATCGTCGTATCGACAGACGCGCTCTCGCAGCAGAACCGCGCGTCTCGGAGCACCAGAATAGAAAAGTATCTCGAGCACGATCGCGAACGTAACGTTGCATCGAATGTATAATAACAAGCTTAAGTGCAGGCGGTCGAACGCGTTACTGTTGTACTTAAATGGGATTAAATACGGCACCGATGCACGTGTTCGTCTCGCAGCGCTGCGCATAAGCATATTAGGTGTGTCGTGCGAGTCCGATTTAACGCGTTGACCGAGCCAGAAAATTCTCCGTCTTTCGACCGGAAATTCAAAATCATCGAACATTTCTTACCGTCGTTCGTATTCATTTTTAACGTTTGTTTCGTATTCAGTTTTAACGACTTTCGCGCTTCGATCTCACTGCGAGTTTGAAACGACTTTCAACGTGCGTAGGAAATATTTGCGCGTAAAATTAGCGTACGAAGCGACGCGTACTCTAACGACGACGACTCGTTCGCTCGTTTTACCTTGGGAAATTTTTCAACCATAGGAAAATACGACTCGAGCAAGGATAATCCGAAGAGCGAAACGAGGTCGAACGTTTTAATCAATTCTACCGTCGTTTATCACCCATGATACAATGCCGCGTTATTGACGGATCTAATTCGAACCGACGTCGTGAGAATTGACACGTTAAAGACGAAACCGATTCCAAGGAGAATCGATAGCCGAAGAAGGCTGTTTCTCGATTCCATGGTCCCAGCAAGCGTTAACGAGCAACAAGGCAATCTAGGCGATTTCCAATGATTTTTCGGTTCACAGGTATTTTACAACTTCGCTTAGAAAAATTCTAGGAAGATTGCTAGACCCGTTAAGCGGATTTTTATCAAAGAAAAAAGTGGAAAGAGAAGGATATCCGTTGGACGACTTTTTGAGATTAGATGCGAGTTTGCATCGCAACTTAAATTCAACGGCCAGTGTAGATTTTCCAACGAGGAAGCCGCGAATTTGTCGTCCGGTTTCTAAATGCGAGCAAGTTTCAAAATTGAAAAATCCCATCGGAATTCGTGCGCGTGTAGCTTCTCGAAAGTAAAATTCAATTGCATTGGCGCAAGGTAACTTGTGAAATTTTCAAGCCAAAGGAATTCAATTATGTAACTTTCGGAATAAAGAGCAAGTTTCCGTTTGCGTTTAACATCGTACCGCTTTAATCGTCTCGAAGACCGACGCGGGGATGGATAAGAGGAAGAAAAAGGAAAAAGCGTAGGTTTCCCAAACTTTTCCATTCTTCTTTCCAACAAAAGATATTACGTACAGTCAGATAGTATCGTCTCGCGTAACATAACTAAATTTACCTGCAGTCACGCGAGACAGATTTTGTATCCACGAAATTGTTGCCGGACGTTGAAACCGTGCGGCTCGTGGCAGGTGTTGCGAAGCAAAGATTGAGCGGAATTAATTGCACGGCTTTTTGCCCCGTTGATAATATACCGCAATAATACCAGCGATAAAGCTTCGCGTTATCGCGGTCGTTTTAGCCAACGTTTACACGTGTCGACTCTTCGTCGTTCTTTTTCCTCGTCCCGTTAAAAATCGAGCGATGCGTAGAAATTGCGACGAAGCGCGACGCGTCTGTCGATGAGAAAAATTGAAGAAAACCTATGGCGAGAATCTATCGCTTCCAAAGTTAATTTGTAAAATTAGACGCGGAGAGGAACTGTGAGTATACTTTTCTTAATTACTTTCTGGCCCTTTGCCTCGTTACATCGAGTCACGTTCACGGTGTTAATTACGAACGACGAATAACGTTCGACCGAACAAAGCTCGACTCTTTAACCCTTTGACTACTGTTGGCACCTAAACGCGTTGGGAAAATTTGATCGACCATAATTCCAGCGAATCTGGTTCGAACCAGACGCAAGCGAACGCTAATTCAACAATTGTTAGTCATACGTTATTTAAATACGGTTTGTTTTACAGCTATTCTTTCTTACATCCTTGAAACGAATAATTGGGATAATAAGAAGGCCAGAGGAACACGCAACGCGAACACGAAACGACAAATGATTCGTGTTCCGATTCTCTGGAAACAAGCGAACAAACGAGAATACGTGTGAATAAATAACATCGTTTTAATATAGTAGAATTCAGAGATGCAGGCGTAACAGAAAGTTTCCCTGTCCCAAATTTCGCCTTGTCAAACGCAGTCGAGTTCAAATTTTCCGACTGTCCTCCGACCAGTATAAATAAACGAACGAAATGACGAGCGAGGAAGTTCAGCGATCGCAGCATAAGCATACACACGCATCAGACGTATATACGGAGTTTCTTGAGATAGCGCGTATTTATTTCGTAAAAGTAATTATACCTGGACTTGTGCTTTGTGTCGAATTAATACCTTTCTATAAATTGCTCGCAAACAGTGGACTGTATTTCGTGATATCTGATAAGAACTATCCTCTGCAGATTCTTAACAGATGCACCTTGGTATGTTACCAACGAAACAATACATCGCGACCTTAAGATACCTACATTTAAAGAAGAAATATCGAAATTTAGTAATAGATATAACATAAGAGTCAACAACCACTAAAAGCCATTAGTTGTTCAATTACTCGACACGATGGATCAGATCCGCAGGCCAAAAAGACGTTACCCTTTGGATTTAAACGATAATCGCTTATTATTCACGCTATAGTACCACGTCAGAGTAATTTACTTATAATCTTCAATGAGAATTGATCGTAAAATACATGCAAATAAAAAACAACATTCGTACGTACGAGCAACGCGATGCAGGTACAACCGTTCGTTTGTGATCAGCTAAAAGCGTGAAATCGATTCGGCTTGTCGTTTTTAAGGATTGCTGCGTTAAAGTCGTCGATGGCGTTAAATGAGAATGGAAAACGATAGAAAATCGTCATCGGTCGTTACGTTTCTAAAGTCTAAACGCTTGCTAGCCTCGTAAACCGCGAACATCGATTCCTACGGCTCGACTTAACGCAGGGTAAACGATACGCGTACGTGCCGAGATCCAAAACTTCGAAATAAATCGTTCCACGTGTTCGCGACTCAAAAAAGAAAGGAAAAACTGTGGCGTGCATTAAGAAACGAGATCGAATATCGTAGGACGAAGATTTTCAGACGTTCGAACGACGTAGATCGCTTCTATCTTTCTTCGAGTAAACAGAGAACAAATCGATCGAATACTGCGAGAAACTTTCGAAAAATTCTATTTTTCTTTTTTGCGAAGATTTTTCGATATTCAAAATATTTTAACGTTATAAAATTATCCAGATCTCGGGATTTAATAGAAAATGAAGATGCAGGTACTAGACACTGTGCGTAAGAAACAACCTTCAATATCGATGATTTTTCCCATTGAGCCAGCGAGTCTCACGTACTGCGACGATTCCTCGCGGTAAGTGCGGCGCCTCTTTTCCTCTTTCACGGTAAAATGCAATTCCAGTTGAGTAACTTGCGTTCGCTGGCTATCGAGACGCTAATGGCGGATTACGGCCGATGTTTGTCCTTGATTCTACTACTGTTATTATCTGAAATTATGACAGGCAACTGCGAACAGTCTCACGGGCGAGCAGTATACCACGCAGATTCGATGAATATGCAACGAGTCTGCAATGCCGACGATGAATACCGTCAGGATATAAAAATAACTTTTCACCGGTCTTTTTCCGGTCTTCGAGTCGAAGAACAAGACAAACAACGAAGGCTAAACGAGATTCACACCGCTACGTTTCCATCTGTCACCGAAATCGGATTCGAAACTCGAAGATACCCCTTGTATCGTGGTTGTAATACTCGGCGAGTTTTGCAACGACACATCCGTCGATACGTTTCGTAAGAAAAATTATTTGGCATAAGCAACGACCCGATTGATCCACATTTAACGAAATAAGATCCTACGTCGAGCTCGATCTTCGCCAGTCGCCGTACAAAGTTGCTCTCGCGATCGACTTGCCTCTATCGTTCGATCAGAACGCGATTCGCGGATTCATCGTCGATGGCCAGACGAATCTGTTCGCACGGAGCGCGAGAAGGACGATATCCGTAACATCGACGAGTGTTGGACGCGTCGTTAATCCATCAACGACCAGGACAATTGACAACGCGTGGGAAGTCAATCAGGAGAACGAATTAAAGGTGGAACTTGGTAAAATCGTAATTGCCCTTCGTCCAATGTCCAAAGACGAAATTTGATAATAAATAGACAAATGGTAGAAACAGATAGCAGAATGAAAGGTCCCGTTAACGCAAAACGTTCGGCCTGTCGATGGATCAACTGGACGCGTTTGAAAAGGATATCTCGAGACAGTCCTTCGAACGAAGACGCTCGATTAAAAGTCTAACAACTAGAACTCCGTTAGTTAGCGTCAGCTTATACTTGCGTAGTATTTCGCTTAAAATCGTTAAAACGGTACTGCGACTGTTTGTCATGCCGTTTACATGTTGCACGGATATACAGATACAGGAATACAGACACGCGTTTAAATATTATGTTTCTCCACGGATGCACAGCGATTAAGATATACACAGCTCGGATTGTACAGAGTGTCCTATAGCCTCTTAAATACTTGAAAACTCCGCCGGACGATAATGTACACGTGTATAGCCTCTCTGTCTTTCCTCTTTTATCCTCTTCTTACGTTTCTTCACAACGTCCTCTTTACATCGTCGTCGAACAACGGCGCGAACAACGACGCGAACGGCTGTCGCCTCCTCGTTCTGTCTGTTACGCGCTCTTGCTCCTCCTCACTTTCCAGCGTATTACGCGCGCACGTACAGACGTACTCCAGTTTGAAGAAATATAGCGCAGCCGTGGATTCGAAGCCCTCGAACGACGGCGTACCTGATACATCGACATACGTCAGCGTGTAGACGCTATTCCACGATTAGAAGCTTCAACTTCTCGGCGACCGAACGTAAGTCGAGGTTCGTGGAAAGTCGACGAACCGAAAGGGGATGATGATCGCGCGCGAGAACGTAGGTCGAAAATATTGTACGTCACGCCACGTCCTTGCGAGGATGCTTCCTTTTCGAGGACGTCGATGTTGAACATTTTTCGCAGTACGTTCATAAGAGCGTAACGGAGCACCATTACGTTGGAATAAAAATTGATTTCCAACAATTTTTGCATATTGATTCTCGATCCTGGTATCGTTGAGTCGTTTACTTTGGCAAGATCACTCGATTTTTTTCCTCTTGTTGTTGTTTCTTGATTCCTTTTTAATTTTCCTTGTTAATGGAAACCGTTGCTGTTAATCACGACTCAAAGGTGCCAGTCGAGGGCTAACAGGAAATAGTCCTTAAGCGAGGACACGCTTATTTCGCTAATTATTCTTCGTTATACCGAGCGGTCCGTGAAACTGGAACGAGCCGTTGCTTTCCGGTTTCGGCAAGCGGTTCTTCGACAAACATCGCTATTTAAAGCGTGGTCGTGAAATCGATCGCTCGTCTATCAGCATATTCGCCGATATGAAATAACGAGACGATTGTCCCCTTGCAAACGGAAACTACGTACCGCTTCTATGCGAGAACGACGTACGATCATAAAATATCGTTGCAACTACGACCAGGAAAGAAGCACTTTCTCGCTCGTTCCAATTACATAGACCACTTTGTACAACATACGGTAAACACGAGCAACAACACGAATCGTACAACGATATTTCTATACTTAATAAAACCGCGCGAGAGCATGCGTGCATACTCGATTTTCACGTTCAATTCTCAACAACTTCTGTTCCCCTCTTCTCTTATTATCTTCTCGCTCAGACTTCTAACGACAAACTGTGCGCAGGGCGCTTGGTCTAATCGCAAGATGTAACAATCTGCGAGATACAATTGCAATATACAGGGTGGTTGGTAACTGTTGGTACAAGCGGAAAGGGGGTGGTTCTACGTGAAAAAAGAAGTCGAAAATATAGAATTCAAATTTAAAAATTTTAAAAATTAAAAAATAACGTCAATCGAGACAACGATCTACGGTGAGATCCGTTATAACGAGACGTACCGAGCGAAAATTCAAAGTCGATTTTCTCGAAAACAAAGCCTCGAACGAAAAATTCTTATTCTATATTTTCGACTTCTTTTTTCGCGTAGAATCACCCCCTTTCCGCTTGTACCACCAGTTACCAACCACCCTGTATATACACACATATCTCTATAATCCGCTTACAATGATATACAACAATGAGATCAATGATGAGGGTGAATTTACCAACCACCCTGTATATACATATTCTACGTATGTACATTCTTCGAAGAACGATAATCGCGCGAAATTCGCCCAGATACTCAAAACACGTTTCGACCATTAATTTCCAACGCACTATATTTCTTCGAACGAGTATACACACACGCGATGGCGTAGAATACGCACAGTGTTTCGCATGATCACGCGAACATCTGCGACGCTGGATGCTGCGATCCACGCGTGATAGAGACGCGCGTGAATCCTTTTGCGCCGTCAGTCGTCGGCGAACACGTCGATTCGCCCATAGTTTTCGTTAACATGGTCGTCGACGCGTTATCACTTTGCATGGGGCCGAGTCGCAGCGAGGAATCGATATTGTCACTTCGGTAACGCGCGTTCAACGGTGTACTACGCGCAGAGTTTCCCGTAACGGGCGTTGCGTTGGTCGAGAGAAGGCAACGGGTCAATTCTGCTTGGAAAATCGAACGGAGAACGCCAGAGGAGTGAAATTTCGAAACGGAGCCAAGAGCGTGGAAATGGAACTGCGAGATCGACGAGAGAGGAAAAATGCACAGAATGAAATGTCGAAATTGCACGGACAACGTGGAATTTAACGAGTATCGTTTTTCCAGGATCGTTCAGTTCTTCAAACAGAAACGTAGGAAATTTTGCTGGGAATTGATTCGGCACGACGAACGTGAAATAGTAACACGCTGGGACTGATTCCATGGATATTCTAGGAATTTCGTGGTATTCGCGAAACGAAGGTAGACGACGAGGATGGAACTGGAGATTCGTCTTTTCTTTTCCTTTTTTTTCTTTTTTGGTAGTTGCAGAGGACGAGGGAAAATGTTGTCAGCATACAGTGAAAACTTCAACTTCGAACGTATGTCTTCTTTTGCACGATGATATTGTTTATGATAGATTTCTGTGCGCGTGTATGTGTTTCTTATACTTTATATATAAATAACGATCGATTCGACCGTTTATTTATCAAACTCGTGTTATTAGAAAGAAGAATTCCGAGCCTTTCGATTTCTTTTCTCAGACACACGTCACCTTCTTCTCGCCTGTTACGGGAAACTCTGTAAACGTTAAGTATCGAACGTAACGTGTATATAAAATGTAGAAGAATCTGTTGTATCGAACTTTCTCGCGAGAATCCTTCGTAATTGCTTGATCGTCCTTCTAAGAAAAATTCCAGCAATTCGTTCTGCCTTGGACGAACTTTTACGAGCTTTCCTCTAATTTTAATCGTCTAAGAGACAATCGAGTTTCTGCTCTAAATTTCGAGCAAAAGATTAAGCAAAAATACATTGATAAAGGTACGAACACGATCTCGCGTTTATCCGTAAAATTATCAGAAAATTGATGCAAAAGCAGTCGACACGACTTGAAGAATCATTTACGCGATATCGATCGAATGCAGAAAGTAGACTGCCGCGTATCGAACGGTCCGAGTTCACAACGTTTCCAGTTTTCCCGTAGAAAACAATTTCATCGATTATCCCGGTCAAAATATCTCCTTAATTATCCGCTTATTTACTTATTTTCGTTGACCGTTAAACATCGCGAACCTAAATTTAAGAAACTAACGATCAATTATGAAATATTCTCCTTTATTTTCCTATATACCGTTTCTGTCGTTTCGTTCGAGCCTAAAAGAAACGTATTCCCTTTATCGATGTGGTATTAACGACGAGTCTACAACTACAATTAAAAAACGCTTCCGACAAATTTCTTTTCTTCAATTAAAATCTTACGATCTCAAAGAGTATTATAAAAATAGTCTCGTATTTGTCTAGCGTACTCGTGCTACGTGTTCTCCTTTGGATACGCGTTTTTCCTCTCTTTCCTTTCCAACGTATCGCATACGCTGCAAAGTGTACGTGCATTCGTTCAAGAAGAAGAAAAAACGATAAAGCGAAACAGGTAAACAGGATCGTAAATGACAATAACGAGTCCTTCATTGCGATTACGACGACGAGAGATTAGTATTACGACGAATCTTGCTAAATCTAAATATTCTCTTAAGAACTTGTTCCTCTCGCTCTATCGCTCCCTTTGCTATCAGTTCGAATCGTTGACGAACGGATCGATCGATGCGAAGTATCGCGAGAGATCCATCGATGCGATTATCTTCTTGCGCGTCTGTTCGACGATACACAAGGTTTGTAACATACAGGCCCGCGCGACAATTATAATACTGATTCACCGATTTTCAGGCGGAAATCGTTCGCAGAGATCGACAACGAGATATCTAGAACATCTCCTAAGTACACGCGTCGATGAAGATCGTTGCACGCTGGCATTCGTCGTTTATTATTATTTCATCTGTCGTTCCCATCGACTCTTCGTTTTCGAATTTCAAAGAACGCAAACTCGTCTCGTGTCTTCGTGGTTACGCCAACGCGAACGACCATCGATCATCGATGGAAACGCCTTTCTCCGTCTTAAGGTACCGGCGAGGGAACCAGGTCCGTTCGCCGATGCGATCGAACGTACTTCGCACGATCGGAGAAAAGAAGGAATTCGGATGGAATTTCGCACGAATCAACTTAAAATCGACGAAATACACGATTCGAATTTCGATCGTTGTTTGGAGTTTGCGACGTACGTCGGCCGTATCGACCGCCCTTCGCGAAGCTTTCGAAGCGTCTCCTTCTCACGTGAACTTACCCTTGTCCGCTTTTGTACGTTAAGTGAAGCTTCGTGGACGATCACGACGGAAAGGAGCGTCACGTACTTGTTGAAACCATCAGAGATCGCGCGTACGTACGTGTTTCGTCGGTTTCTTCTTCCATTCACATGGTGTACTGAGACAGCAAAATTCGGGGAGTCGTGAGGCTGGTCGGCGGTTCGGGTCAAGTAGTGCACCAGGCCAGGATCACTTTCTTGAAGGGGACGAAGATTGCACGGCCGGGATCGCTGCAACACGATTTCGTCGTAGGAAAGGATTTTAGTACGTTAGATTTTTTGGTTATTTTCTGTTTCGATGAAACGCGTGGAAATTCTCTTTTTTCTTTTTTTTTATTTAAAATTTCACATTCACGATTTGTCCAATTTGGACATTTGGTAGAATTTTTTATCTGCAATTCTTTCGTTCTTTCCTCGTTGTTGTATCGTTAACACTTTGCGGACTGGAGACGCAAATTCGCGTCTTACGTACCTCGTACGGTGTCCTATGAAAGATGTTAATGTTGAGATATGTGTAATTTTCTGTGTTGGACTGGGTTAAACGCGTAGTAGAGATACTTGTATGTAAACATCAGTGTGTGGACGTATGTGTGTGCGCGGCGTCTCGAAAACAGATGAATGTAAACAGTCAGTCGGTTAACAGTCGGGTATAGAAGTGCTGAGACGCGTGCAAGTGTGTATCGATGAATATAGAAGAAATCGTCCATGAAATAAATATATTGCTATTTTAATATTAATCCTCGGTATCAATATAGCGTTCCTATAACATTATTTCGGCTTCAAAGATCCACAATTGTCAACAGTTAACTACCGTTGAATAGAACAGTAGGAAAAAGCAATGAATGCTATAAACAAAATGTTACGAATGTGTTTTTACGTTGCATGCTTGAATAATTGGAAACCATTGGGATTTTGAAGGAATTTAATAAAATAATAAATTTTGCTTAGTAGCTCTGCATCGAGGAAATTCTTTTCAAGCGTATCTTTAAATATGGTAATTGATTTTGAAGAAAATGTTACGCTTGTTGAACGCTGCTCGGAAAGTTCCTTCCGATTTTTCAAGAATTTTGACGACATAAGAAATTATATCGAAGCATTTCTCGCCGAGAAACCTGAGAAATTCTGAAAAGATGGAATATTCAAGTCGCGCGAAAGGAGCAGAAAGGTTGTGCAACGAAATCACATCTATATAATTCAATAAACGTATATCGAATCGAAATGTAAATCGGAACGAACTTTCTCAGCGACTTTTCGAATCTTTTCGATGAATGCGTCAACTACCTTCGTTGAACCAGTGAGCAAAAAGAAGAAAAAGAAAGACGGCAAAGGAATGTAATAATTACAGTGTACTGATAAATACGAAAAAAGGATTGTACCGATACGTCAGAAATTATGTTATTTTCAAAGCTGAAACAGAAGCTGAAACTGAACAGAAGAGAGAAACACGATCATTTTTGATAATATATTAGCTTGTTCTTCTGCGACAAAATGGATCATACGTCATTCGATAAAACAATACAAAACCCAAAATCTTGCGCGTCTATATTTCCTTATAAAACGAAAGAAACCTTTCGAACAATCTATTGGAATGGCAATTAAGTGATTGCGGATTTTGTCATTAGGTGGTATTGACAAAACCCGCAATCACTTAGTTGCCAACACAATATGACGAATACTTCATTGTATGAAAAGTTTCTTACAAAACTGAAGTCCCAAAAGCGTTTCAGAAGCGCGCAAAATTGAAGGTTCTGGTATTGGGTTGGCAACTAATTGATTGCGGGTTTTGTCAATATCATCTAATGACAAAATCCGCAATCACTTAGTTG